CATAATCATTAAAAATCAATAATAAAATATAGGCAGGCAACAGTATTTACTGGAAAATGTATGAGAAGTTGCCTAAGTCTAATAAGTTGTCATTGAAGAAACCATTTATAATAGCGTGTGAAGTTAAAATGTATAAAAAGGATCGCTTCTTATATTTTCATTTTTGTTCTAAAGAAAACATAGAATGAATGATTAAAACTGGTTTCCGATCAGTAAGTCACAAAATTGCATACCAGCCAAATATTATAATCAACGGCAGAAATCTTGAAATCTAGTCCTTGCTGAATGAACATTTAAGAATAAAGGGATATTAAAGAACATCGTAAAATCATAATTTATTGTTTATTTAAAAACTTTCTAGTTTCTGATGTCTACTATTTCCAGCATTACTGTTATTATCACAAAAATAAAGGTAATTTTTCTTCTTATTGTACACCTATCCATTTATTTCTTTGATTTAATTTCCACTTTGTTAGTGAAATTTTTTATATAAGTTTCACTGTTTTTTTTTTTGCTAGTATTTGTACAATTTTCAACACAGCAACTCCGGTTGCTTATTGTGTTGTTTTTACCTACTTTTTTGAAAAAAAGTAAAATGTATACGTATATTTGATATGCCAAAATTACAAAATATCCCCCTAAAATGCACGAATTATCCGCAGCTAGCGCTAGTATCGCTTTTGCTTCCCTTTCCATGACTTCGCACGGAGCGAATAACCAAGGACTCAAATAATTTAATTCTTGGGTACCAAGTATCTACTTTGGCTTTTGCTACATGGCTTGTCTCTGAAATAAAAACTTGTCTTAATTTTTTAAACACATTTAATGTAATTACTGTTAATGTCATCAAGGAAAAATCTGCTGGTAGAGCTAGTGGAGGTTTGTGCATTTTTTATAGTAAAGATTTTACAAGTAAAGTACCTACTAGATAATTTCCCTTGGTGAATGAAATCTCAATTTAATACCCTTAGTGTATGTAATGTTAATTTTAAACCATCCTTAAATATTTCTTCATTATTGGAAATCTTTCAAATATTTTTAAAACGATCAATCATAGATAGGAAACTTTTAAATTCTTGCTACAGTATTTTGAGTGTTTGGCATCATTGATGTTATTACAAAAGCTCGAAGTTTTTATATTTACATCAACGATTTTGTTTGGGATCATTTCCTTCCTATCTGACAATAAAGATATTTGATTCACGCTATTTACGTCCTTTGAAATCATTTATTATTTAATACTAAGATGTGTTACCTAATAATTAATTTCTGATGTAAATTCTTGGATCAAATAGACAAGGCTGCAGCAATACTGCTCGGTGATATCTCATATAATTATTAAACTTACTTAAATTAATCACAGATACAAACTTAAATTTCTCGTTTTTTGTAATATGGCAATAAAGTGTTTGATTTTGGAATGTTAATAAATTGTAGAGTATCTAGGGGCTGTTATTAGAGGTGGAGAATGATAGAATGATTGTTGATGTTGGAATGAAATGACGTCGCCGGGAACAGAAGATTTCCTGAGTGTAAGAAAATGTCGGGATACAGATCGAATAATGGGTAAAATGTAAAGTAAAATGGAAAAGCCATTAGCAGGATGAAAAGAAAGAAGCATGGTTTTTATAAGGTGTCTTTTTTTTAATAGTGTAATCTCTAACGTTAATTATACTTTGGTTCTTCTACTCCATTTAAAAAATGATGGTGTCGACTTTTTTTAATAATTATTTTGTAAAAAATGTAAAAAAAGGTCCAAAAAAAAACTCCAAAAATGTTCAAAAAGGTCCTCTGCGCCAGCCAAGGTACTTGCCCGATCTAAAGTCAGATAATGAAAAGTTGAAGACTATTGTTCAAGAGAAAATGTCAATCGGATACAGTATCAGAGAAATCGGTGGTATTCTTCAAAAAATACGTATCGTTGGCATGACCGTTAACTACTCAACAGAAGATCTTTATAATTATCTTGTTACATGTAACACAAACATTATTTCTGAAAATTCTGAAGTTAAAATTGTAAAAATCTTTCCAACTAAAAAAAATCCTGAAATATTTCAAGATATTGTACAGGTAGATAAGTTAGTGTATGATCGGGCACTAAAAACAGGAAATTTATTTGTTTCTTATTATGACAGCTGCATTGTGTATGATGCACTTGAAGTGTACAGGTGTTTCAAATGCAATGAGTTTAACCACTCTGCACAAAAATGCACTAAACTCGTATCTTGTCCAATTTGTGGTGAGGGTCACGACTTAAAAGACTGGAAATCTAAGAGTTAAAATTGCTCCAATTGCGTAAAATTAAAAAATTCAATTATAATGACTGATCATGCTGTATGGGATAGGGACAAATGTTCGGCTTATATCGATACTCTGAAGGCGAGTTCGGTCAGTCAGGGGCTGGAGCGGGACAAATTTTAGGGTGCTTTTAAATGACATTTAAGCGTGTTAAACTGTCACTAATCGGACTAAACCGAACGCTAAGAGTCGTTTGGAGTTAAAAGTGTTAAAGGAGTTAAAGGAACGTGGCAAACCGAAGGCAATGTGAATAAACTTAAATCTAACCGAAGATAATCATCATCCAGCTTTAGATATCAGTTGTGAATTAATGGAAAAACTTAACAACAAAAATAACCTAGAATCTTCTTATACAAATTGTTATAATTTTCGTAAGGCAAATTTTCCACTTATGTATAATATGATATCAAATATTGACTGGACTTTTTTAGAAAGCTTTTATAGTGCTGATGATGCCTGTACATATTTTTATCGCAAGTTGTATAATTTGTTAGATCGTTGCGTACCCAATTATTCAGTGCATAATAAAAAAATATATCCTCCTTGGTTTAATCCCAGTATCATTAAAAAAATAAGAGAAAAATCAAAATTTTGGCGTCAATATAAAAAAGGCAATGATATCAGGGCTTTCGAAACGTTTAAGCGCATAAGAGCTGAAGTTAAAATTGCGATTACAACAGCACATGAAAATTATCTTTTAAAAGCAGAGAATGATATATCTATTAACTCTAATAAGTTCTGAGCCTACGTCAACAGTAGAAAAAGTTCTAGTAAAGTTGCTAATAACATGACCTATGAAAATAATACATTGGATAATCCTGCTGACATACTAAATAGTTTTGCTGATCTTTTTAGCAAGTCCGACGTTCATTCTAAAGTTTCTCATGCTGATGTGAATGAACTTCAATTAACTTGTTTAAATATTGACAGCTTTGACGAAAGCCAGGTACTTGACGCATTAAAATCAATAAAACCTAAGCGTACTAACGGGACCCGACCATATTCCTGCATTCATTTTGAAAGATTGCGCCCAAGTACTGGCTTATCCTCTGACAATCCTGATCAATATCTGCATCCGTTCTAGTACTATTCTGTCCATGTGGAAGAGCTCTAAAGTATGTCCGATTGTTAAAAATGGAAATCGCACTGACGTTAAGAACTACCGACCTATTTCTATTATTTGCAATTTTTGTAAAGTATTTTAGAAATATTACTGGAACGCAGTATTTATCAACATATAAGTAATGCGTTATCCACTCAACAACATGGATTTGTGAAAGGTCGATCAACAGTAACGAATCTCTCAGTCATTACTCAGCATATAGCAGAAAATATCGATAAACGTATTCAGACTGATGTTATTTATACAGATATCTTAGATTTTATTAATTATCAAGTCAAATAATTATTTAGTTACTAAATGATTTTATCGATAGAACACAATGCGTGAGAATCAACCGCCTACAGCCACAGCTGACCACACACCCGACACTCAAGGCGACTCACCTCGTTCTGCCTGGGGAGGTGTCGGCGGTACCTTGCCACCGCAAACGTTTCCCCGCACCCCCCGCTCTTGACTGCCACTACTCTATACACCACAATGAGTTATCACACAAAAATTTGTTTACCTGCTAACAGATATGACTAAAGCATTTGACAGACTTGACCATGGAATATTTAGTAAAAAAACTGTCTGCTTCTGGACTCTCAGATAGTCTTATTGTGTAACCGTTCACAATACGTTCAAGTCTGTTAAGTACCTTGCCACATCGGGTGTCCCTCAAGGGTCGAATTTTGGCCCGCTCTTGTTTAATATTTTTATAAATGACATTGGTAGTGTAATTAATGTTAACTATCTACTACATGCTGAGGACCTTACAATTTATGCTTCCATAAATAGTATTGCTGACTGCGAGCGACTTTCTGAAAATCTAAAACAAGTTAATGAATGGTGCCATAGAAATAATTTAAAATTGAACCCAGCTAAGTGCAATGTAATGTCGTACTCCTTAAAGTCAGGTCCAACTTTTTACCAGTATATTGTTGACGAAACTCCCTTAAACAGACCAAAAAACTTCTCAGAAGTGACATTTTTACAAATGAAATTAATTTCAACAAATTTATTTGAGATCATGTAGAAGATTATTCATTATTAAAGACACCTTTTATAACCACTATTGCATATTCAAAAAAAGCTTTAAATAAAAGTTTGTGAATATGACTGACTTTTTTTAAATATACCATAATATGGCACTGACTGTTCAAGACCTAATGAGCAATTTTCTCAACAAATTCCGCCTTGCTGGGGACCATATTATAGGATATGTGAAACAATTAACTTAAAAAAATATTTATTACAAGTAAACGGTTAACAAATGATTAAAGAATATAAAAAAGTAATTGGTAACTTAAAAATAAAATACAAAATCTCGAAAAGACAGTTCACTGTGTTTACCTAATTATTTTATAATTAGATGCCCTGTAAACGATATAAATACTTGTCATGAAAGAAAACTGCATTCAGAATTCACAAACCAACCACGACAGAAAAGGTCATATGGATCACAATGAGGTTTGCAAATTTGCTATGACAGTCAACGTGTTAATCTGTGTAAATATCGACTTCCAAGATTTTGTATGTAAACAAGTAAAAACTTCTCATAGATAATAAAAAAAGGGAAATATACAATATAATATTGGTCCAATAAGAGAAGCACGATTTAAATTTGTTGCAAAAAACTTGCGGTTAAATACACCCAGAGTAATTTACTTTTTTCTGAATTCATTGGACGTTATCAATATAGTTGAAACATGCATAAGCCCATAGGATAATAATTGGAATGTTTAGAATAATTTTTAAAGTTACTTTAGCAGATTTATTAATAAGGCAAATCTTGCATCTCTTATAGATTCTTTTAGAACCAAAAGTAATATGGAGAAAAAATAACAAAAATTAATGGAAGGGATTTGGTTAAATGAGATAAATGTTGCATATTGAGGTGGACATACAATTATTTACAACTGAAAAGTTTTATCGGATATAACCTTAATTAAAAATCAACAAAACGTTAAATTCAGGATTAATTGCTATCCTGAATAGGCAACTTTTATTCTATCTAACCTAATCTGACTATTCAATCATAAAGAGTGAACCATTAGTGTGTAAAAGTTCATTTTCACAGACACTATTAGAATTACAAAAAAAAAAAAACACATTTACAGGTACACAAATGTAATTTTTATGTAAAAATATATTAGGTATAGGGATGATGTGCATATTGTTATCATTTGACTGCAAGTAAATTTTGAAGAATACAACAAAAAAGTGTTTTCGATAAGTAAATTTTAATAAAAAATTAGAAAAGTTTCAGAATAATGTTAAAATATGACATTTAATGTTTCTTACAGCTAACCATCAATAGAGCCATACTTTACCTGCCACTAATAATCAACATAACCATGACTGTATGACTAAACAAAAAGCGTTGGTTGGCACAGATCCAACAGTAAAATACATTTATACTTTACATTTTTAAAATTAGTGCAATAACTATTTTATATATCAAATAGTGACAGACGTACTTACTTTTTCACACTAATAGATCATCCTGTAAAAGTAAAAATCATAAACATATTTACATAGTTTAAAAAATGGGCATATTAGCAACGAATCATTAAATCATTCTTTAATGACCCGTACTCTAAAACTGAACGTATTATTATTAATAAAATCCTCAAGTTGTTCCAAAGAAGCAACTGTATACTTTCCTCTTGTAGTAAAACAATCTGTTTGGTTAGACAGAGGTACTACCAAGCCAGTAAAATAGCACCGTTTCTTAGCTAAAGTCAAATCAATAACGTCTATTTCAAATTTGTACAATTTGGCATCATTGGCTGGCCCCACCAGTTGTACGCACCAATAGAACTTCTCGTTCTGGTATTTAAAGAATAATTTAAAAACCTTCCTCAGATATTTAATAAGGATTATTTTCTCTAAAGCCTGAGTATTGTTGAAAACTAAATCGATTTTGTCTGTTTTTAAAATTGATTCGTCATGATTGTTATCTATGTGATCAACGACTTCGGCATGACTGGCTTTCCAATCGCAATTTTGGGCATCTTTCAAAGGACAAGTGTAAGGTCCGAATTCGCATCCATTCTCGTGGTTTCTAATCTCGGTGGCTTTGACAGAAAATTGGCAACCCGATTTGTAGAATTTGCATGGGTATATCATGTGTTGCGTCATTTTTTCAAGAACAAAATTTTTGGTTTCTTGAAATTTGTTTTTGCACACAGGGCATTCGGTTAGACGACTCTTGCAAGGTTCGCAAATGCTGTGGCCGTTTGTGCATTGGTATATCGGTGAAAGCATGTAATCGAAGCAGACTGGGCATTCCATTTCAGAAAGCATGTCCCAATTTATGTTAGGGTTCTTTTTTAGATCGATGGGCTAAAAATAATAATAATAATTACTTAATTTGGAATATATAATTCTATATTAATTTCAAATGATGTAATAAAAGGCTCAAACATAAACAATTTCAAAGAGAAACTAAAAAAATACACAAACGATGTTAATCTATATATTCTTTGAAGCGTTTGTATTATTTCACCAGGCCTAATCTTAGATATTATTTACATTTATTTGTTTCTAATAGGTTCGACTGCTTTGATACCAACTTAACTCATGTATGTAATATTTTGATGTCTAGATAATTTAATTTAACTTATTTACAATTATCTTGTTTTTTTTTTAATATTTAATTTTTTCTTGTTTATGTTTAGGGTAATTTATGTTTCTTTGTTTCAACATCTAACTCTTAAGTGTAGGTTAGGTTTTAAATTTTCTCTTTTAATAAACTTGTATTTTAATTGGGCAATTGCTAGTTGATAAATAAATTTTATTACTATTAAATTGAACTTTTACGGAATCAATATAATCCTGACATTCTTTGTATAACTAAATGTTGGTGTAATAATACCTCGTTGCCTTTTAGAAACTTTAAATATTAAATTATCGCCGATTCATACGTTAGAAGCAACAAAATTCACGATGGATGATCACTTATTTTAATAAAAGAAACCATTACGCATAAGACAGTAAATTTTATATACAGCCTATCAGAAGAAATACATTTCCAAAGCTATGCTATATCGTTTCTGTAAAGAATATAAACTCTATTATTATAAACGTAGATCTCCCTCTGGAAATATTGAACTTTTTATTAAAAAATTGTCATATTTTAAATCGTGTTGTTTTTTTATGATGCTGTATGTTTATGTGGAGATTTAACATTGACTTTCTAACAGATTCTTATAATAAACATCTCCTTAATGATCTTATTCAGAGTTTTATCCTAACTTGTCAGAATCACGACCTCACGCTTTGGGGAAATGCGACCGGTACGTCAAAAAAGACTAATAATATTAATTTTTAACCTAGATGCTAGAAGTACCTGTGGATATATTTTTAAAAGATATAATATACTGACTTTTCCTGCAATATATATTCTCAAATGTGCTATATACATTAAAACAAACATCTCCAAATTTACCAGGAACTCAAGACAACCATAATTATAGTACTCGTAGTGGCAATTTACTACTCATACCCCTCATATTTCAACCATGTTGGAAAAAAGTTCATGCTACTGTGAAATAAGGTTATTCAATCATCTACCTACCTCTCTAAAACAAATTAATAGTCTGAGCTCATTTAAATGCAAATTAAAAAGCTATTTATCCCAAAAATGCCCCTATAGCATTCATGAATTTCTCCTGTAGTTTCTGTAGTACAAGGCACAGCCTATGGAGAGCCTTCTCAGCCTTGCAATTCAGACAAATTGCTGTACTTCCCCTATTCTCCAAATCTTGGAAAAAATTATGTATAATAATCTAATATATTTAAATTCTTCCAACATACTCACGCCATTCCAGTATGGTTTTAGAAGGGGGCGATCTACAATAGATACAGTATTATCTCTAGTACAATATATAGAAAATTGTTTTGAAAAAGCTGAAAACTGTTTAGGTGTATTTACAGATCTAAGCTCTGCTTTTTGACTGTGTGGATCATTCAATTCTATTATCAAAACTGGAGAGGTATGGAGTACGAGGGATTTGTTTACAGCTTTTTTAATCTTATTTAACTGACAGATGTCAAACAGTCAAGTTCATTGATGCATATCAGGAGAGGTGTCCATCAGGGCTCAATTTTAGGTCCATTACTCTTTATGATATACATTAATGATCTTCCTGACCATATGCATTCTGAAAACCTTATCACATGAATATTTGCTGATGATACTTATTTTTGTATTAATACTAAAAGAGGAACAGCATGATCAAGTTTACTCTGATGTCATGATTCAGAAAAAGAGGTGGTTTTCTGTAAACGACCTGTTTTTAAATAACACAAAAACTATCTCCCAATTATTTACAGTAAATAGTGAAAAAGTTAATATCAATTCTGTTAAAATACTTGTCATTCAAATTGATCCACATCTCAGATGGACAGATCATATTGAAGCACTTTGTTCCAAATTATCATGAGCAGTTTTTGCTATTAGGAAAATACGCCAAATCTGTGGTCAAGATGCAGCAATTACTGCTTACTCTATTTTATAGTCATTTGACCTACAGGACAATATGTTGGGGCAATGCTGCTGACACACACATATCTCAAGAGTCTTTATTTTGCAAAAATCAGCCATAAGAGTCATAACACATGCTTCTTGGCAAGCCAGTTGCAGACCAGTATTCCCAGAACTTAAAATTATGACACTCTATGCAGTAATAATCTATCAAAACCTTCTATTCGTAAGAAATAATATTAACACATTTTTTTCCCACTCAGATATCCATAACTATAATACAAGGCACAAAGATAATTTAGTCCCTATCCAGTATAGACTGGAAAGGACAAAGAAATATATTGAGCTATACAATATACTACCACTTAATTTTAGAAATCAGCCTATAGATAAATTTAAACATGTGGACTACTTATGTTATAAATGTAAATTTCAATTTTATATTTTTATATTTAGGTAAATTTTATTATATACATATTTAGTTTTAATTGTAATTTGACGAGCCATAAAATGTAATATTTTCTCAGGTAAATAAAGATATTGTATTGTATGTCATATGGGTGTTTTCAAGCATCAGTATTAATTTTAATTTTGTGTATTTTTTGTTAAATTGTATATTTAAATATGTTAGTTAGATTTTATAACTGTTCTGTAAATGTATACTATTGTGTCTTTACATGTAAATGACTTATCCTATATCATGCATATGATTTAAAAGGATTAATAAAGTATTATTATATATGTCGCTCATTTTTTATATATAACCTATACTTGTACTTTGTATCTCTTCAGTATCTAATGGAGTCCAATAATAACTTTCTTAAAAATTTAATTTCTCAAATACAAGCAATTTTAGGAAAATTTTGTATAGGACAAAAATTATAGAGAATATAATTTTAAGCAACTTTTATTTGAAGAAATTTCTTCTTTCTACAAGCATAATTAAGAGATATATTCCATAAAATAGAAAAACTACCCCTCTAATGTTCCAACTAGGCCCAAAATCTAATAAGTTCACAGCAGAATGGATCAGAGCTTAAGTTTACAATTTGGTGTTTTTCTCTCTATCCGTTTAAGAGTTATAGAGTATATAGACACACAGACCCACACATCATCGTGAAAATAGTCAAAACGGATTCAGGGGACCCCAAAACGTAAAAATTCAAGGTACAAAAAAAATTATTTCTATACTATCCTTATCTGTATTTAGATTAGTCACAGAATGAAATTTAGAAACTTTAGGAGAGCACCATTTCTCAATTTAAAGTATGAGAGTAACTGGCCCCTTTGCCATGATAATACAATTGTTCTTGACAAATTATAAGTACTTACAAGTACATATATCTTATAAGTATCTTTCTTATCAGTTTTTTGTCTATAAATTTCAATTAATTATCTCACATTTTTAATCTTTTAAGTGAAACTAGACATTTATGGAATTTTTAAATTAATTTGCAAAATTATAAAATATTTTGTACCTAAATACGTTTACTATGAAATAATATAAAATATAGAGTAGATGGCAATAGTTTTGCCTGTTACTTGCAGATTTATTATTTTTCTTGCACACGGTGTTGCATGGCTATTATTTAAGCCTGGAACACTGTTGCACATTCTCCTAGACTCAATGAAATCGTTCTTTTTACTAGTTGTTTACACACTAAGGTCCATTTACACCACTAGTCATTTAAGCTTTAAATGACATTTCTCCGTATTTTAAACTTCCCTTATTTATTAACTACTAGCAGTGTAAATTGCCCTAAAATGACAGATGTTTCATGAACATTTGTTTTATACTTTGAAATATATATGAAAGAAAAACATGCATCAAAACTTTCACAATAAATTTTATATGAAGCTTGTGGAAAAAATTGTGCTATTAAAATATATTAAAATCTTTCATATAAGAAAGAAAGAAATTTATCAATAAAGAAATGAAAAAATAAAAAAACATTAAATTGAGGAAGGTATTGCTAAAGACTTAGTTTGATAGAAGTTGAAGTAAGTAAAAATCAAGTTGTAAACAAATAAATAATTAAAAAGTACCTTAGGGATAACTGCTCCTGCTACTTCTCCTTCTTCTGGTGCAGAAGAAGATTCTACCTCTACAAGCTTGGTCTTGAAAATCTGAATATTAACATCTATTGCATCTGGATCATGCAGCCTTTCACGCAGAATATCTTGGGTTAGTTGAGTGCTGTTTAGCCTCTCATTATCACATGTGCTTTTATCAGGGCATTTGTAAAAGAAATTCTTATTGCCACTTTCTATTTTTAAAGAATGATTGTAAACATCAGACTCTTCTACGGCCTTTAAATGCTCAACAGAGCAAGAAAAAATACCCTTACGAGCATCAACTTCTTTTTTTATTACGAATAACTCCTCATCTTGTTGGAAAAGGAAGCATTCTTCTTGGGAATTCACGAAGTTCAGCTTGAAAGAAGGTTCTTTCAATAAAAAAGCGGCATGCTTTTGTTCGAAATGCTCGACTAAATTGGCCCTAGCCCCTTTCCACTGGCATTTTAAGTCGATTTTAGTGGGACAATCGAATTTTCTGAACTTGCAGCATCTCTCATGCTCCTCTAATTTCGGCGGCGTCAGATTTTCTTTGCAGCCGTCCTTGACGTATCTGCATGGAAATATTAAAAATTGTGCGAGACCTTCGTAAGCTTCATCGCGGATGAATTTGTTGTCTTCCATGATTTTGCAACGCCCGCATAATGCACCGGATCCATCAATTTTCGTGTAAATCGGAAAAACGGATAAATGGGCGTTGCAATTTAGACAGACCATGCTATCAAGGAGGTCGTTTGGAATGAACAATTTTGAAGACATGATTTACCTAAATAACAAAACTCTGTATAAGTACAATGACTTTTTCATTTATAGAAAATTGTAAATACAATCACAACCACGCCTTAATTATAACGCGCAGTGATTCACACTATTACAAATTTTAGATGACATGACGCCATGTAAAGTCCCCATCGTCTCACAATGTTCATATTCAACAGGTTATCTAATTTATTAAAAATTATATTTACCTTGTATTCTGCTGCTGACAAGTATAAAAACGTTATTTTCAATTCGCTATAACTATAATTGACATTCAAAATGAAAACTAAACTAAAGATAACAAGACACAAGACTGATCGAAACACCAATCCAACACAAAATGAAAAATGAATGAACAAAAAAAACTTTTTTCCCGGCATCAGCAATTATTAGAGATGGTAACTTTATTTTGTGTTCGTTATTTTAGAACTGTAGTGATAGAAGGGTTTAATACTTCATAACAGGATAGATTTTATCACATATTTTTGAAAAAACAGAGATTTGATTTGTTGACGTCATAGTAGAACCAACTGTTTGTAGTCACTTTAGAAAAATCCCTCGTTTTGTTAAGTTTTTTATGTTTAAAACTTTAATTCGTTTATTGTGTTGTTTGAAATACTGAAGCGTTTATTATCCAGCTTTGTTTAAAAAGAAAGGAACAAATAACAATTTCACCACGTTTCAAGAGCAATTAATTTGGTAACTTTTTTATTATTTGAAAGGAATGGATAAATCGTTACCAAGAACCAGATAAATTTCAAGCGAAAAAGGTTATCAATGTGACTTTAAAAAATTATAACTGATTAATTTTTATGTTCCAAAGATTTATTTATTCTACAAAGTGATCTAAAAAGTTTTATACAAATAAGAAAAAATCCAAACTCCAGAGAATGAATTTCTCTCAAGAGAAATATATGTCAACGTAAAACAGTATTTTTAGGGTCCTTAAAACCAGTGTAAACTCACTGACTATTTCTCTCTGTTTATTTAGAGAGAATTAAAATTCTCCTAAGAATTTTAATCCTCGAGGCCTTTAAAAACAGCGTTATGAGAAACTTGAGAGAAATGAGTGCTCCCATATTTTGAAAATAGGTCTCCTGGTACTGGCAGTACCCGCTGAGTATATTTGTGTCCTTGTTTATTGTTATGGAAAAATAAAGTGCATGAGAACATACGCACTTTGAGATTCTGCACTGACGCTAAATAACGCATTTTACAAATAGATTTGAGAAACTAGGCTACACGATAAAAGTGTAATTCCTTGAAAGTAACTTATAGAAAATCGTAAGTGAAAACCAGAGCGAATAATTTTATCTAAAATTGCAATATTTCACCTTATATTAGATACATTTGATTTATTTGAACAAAAAGAGCCGATTCAGTTGGTAATATTGGTACTACTGAACATGGAACAAATTTTGCCGTTCTAAGACGCTTCCATCTCAAAATTTTCGATTACAAAAAACTTTTAATTCTTATCATTTATCAACTTAAAACCTGTTTTAGTTTAATTATTGATTAATATCATTGCTACAGTAACCAATTTCAAATATCTCCAGCCATTCCAGTAAATTTTTTTAAAGCAAGAAATCCGAGTTAGTAAATTTAAGTTCCTTTAATAGGTTTGAATCAGTTGTTTCCCATCTGAACCAGATGTAATCCGCACTGGAATTACAGAACTCCGTTTTAAATCTTGCGCGACATTGCCAGGTCAATAAAATTCCGAGATATCAGGAAATTTGAATGGTATTTATCTTTCCTCCATGGTATTTATTTTTATCAAATTTACATTTTCAAAACAAAAATAAATATAGTGAAATGTTGAAAAAAGTAACACAACGATTTAAATTTCAGAACACTTATATAATATGATTAAAAATATTTAAAATTAAAATTACGAATAAATTAAGCACTCTTTTCGCCTTGGTATGTAATTTTTATATTTTTAGCCATTGCAGCAGTTTCTTTATTGTAAATTTTTCTTCTCTTTTTCACATTATTCCAAGATTCAACTTCAACTCTAAAAAAATGTTTATGAAAAAGCGAAAATCATCAATTTTACGTATTCTTACTTGGCCACCTTCTCTTCGATTTTTCCATATTTTTGTGAAATCTGCTTCTCAACTTTATCAAAAATATTTAACATGAGGTTACTGCTAGACGAAATAAGCATTTCTGGCTTAAATTTTTCAGTTATTAAGTCACCTATAAAAAATATATATTGGTATATAAATAAAATATGTAAAAACAATAAATACTTCTTGAAATTTCCCCTTTTTCCATTTGATACTCTTCTAATTCCATATCTTTTTTTAATAACAAATTTTTCATCATATTTTGCTGCTTTTCCAATAAAATTATGGTCTGTACTAATGGTATAGTTAATGTTGTGGTAAACTAAAAATATGATTTTTAAATATAAGAATTATTACAAAAAAAATATATATACCAATTCATTTTCTAACTTGGTAAACTCTAATTCATACTTTATTTTAAAATTTGACTCATTTAAAACTGATAGACCAGATTTTAGGCTTAATTTTGCTGTAGAATCCGAAAAAAATACTTTAATTTCACCTAATGTATCTATTTCATTTATTAATTGTAAACATTGCGTTAATGCTTCTCCAGGTTTCGTTTCTATCACCGGATTACATTCCTAAAACATACAACACGTTCATTTTAAGTAAAATAATGTTTTTCTTTCTAATTACTTGAAATTTTTGGATAATTAAATCCTTAGAGAGTTTACAGGACCATATTTTTGTAAGATTTGTTAAATAAAAGTCGTAATTATCAAGGATTTCGATTATTTTCAACATATAAACGTTATTATCCTCTGATGTAAAAGTTTTCCACATTTTTCAAAAAATAAATTGATTCGAAAAGTAAACAAACGAACAAACAGAAACATAACCTCTTCTGTTCTTCTTCCATTTTTGGAGGCTTTAGCTGCCAGGGCTATTCGGCCACCTCTTCTGTTCTTGTCTTCTTTAGGTCTTTTCCTTTGCATCGAAAGTGTAGCACTAAGCTATGCCGCTTCTGAAAATATCGTTCTATCCATACATTTTGTATAAATGGAACGATATTTTCAGAAGTGGTGTAGCTCAGGGGGGCTATTTTCAAAGTCGAGAGAATTCATTTCTCTCGAGAGAAATGTCATACGTCAACGTAAAACAGTATTTTTAGGGTCCTAAGGGCCAGTGTGAACTCACTGATTGTTTCTCACGGTTTATTTAGAGACAATTAATATCCTCATAAGAATTTTAATCTTCGAGGCCTTTAAAAACAGCGTTTCCACATTGACGTATGACATTTCTGATGAGAATCTTGAGAGAAATGAGTGCTCCCATACTTTGAAAATAGCCCCCCAGTGCTACACCCATGGTCCAATCCTTGATTTTTAGCTTGGGAAAATTAATGTTGGCTATGTTTGCTGACTGGTTGGCAGTGTTGGCACAACTGCTTATCAATTGTCAATTGTTAGGGCAAGGACAAAAATTTTTGTTGAATACATTTTTTAATTTTAATTTAAAATTAGTTTACTAATAGCTGACTATTTAAATTGCAATTAGTTGTACGAGATTAAAGTTGACAAGTTTTTTAAAATGCCACGAGGTAATTTTTTTTTATAACAGCTGTATTTCGTATTGTTTGAAATTATACATGTGTAATTCTGAATGAAAAATCGTAATTAGTACGTTAATTTTACGCAATTTTGTAGTTTTCGTTAATTATATTACTAATTAAGTAGCAAAATTTAGATGGATGCATAATATGCAAGACGAATAAGACGTTAAATGCAAATTTTAGGTAAATTCACCAATCACAAAGGTAGAAATCGTAGATTCACTAATCCGGAGGAGTTAGAGGAAGAAAGAAGGCGAGAAGAACAGCAGAAGAAATGGAGACAGAAGAGGGGTGAAAGTAGCGAAGAATCGGAAGACGAGGCGCCGGGAGATAAAAAAATTAGTGAAGAATCTGGATCTGATTCAGATTCAGAAGAAACCACTGATGACGAAGACGTAATAAACCTAATTATTGTTAACAATTTAATTGTAATATCACCCAAATTATAATTCCAGGTCAAAGCGAAGGGTGTATCGAACCTAATAGAAATAGAAAATCCTAACAGAGTCCAAAAGAAAACAAAGAAACTTGCGACTCTCGATGTTGCAGATTTAGAAAGTAAGCCTCAGTTATCTAGAAGAGAACGTGAAGAAGTAGAAAAACAAAAGGCACAAGCCCACTATCAAAAGCTGCACGCGGAAGGAAAGACAGATCAGGCTAGAGCTGACTTGGCACGCTTAGCTATAATTAAACAGCAACGAGAGGAGGCCAAGAAAAGAAGAGAGGAGGAACAAAAAGGTGATTTTAAAATCGATACCTTTAGTTAATTATACTAAGAATGTTTGTTTTTTATTTGCTTCCAGAAAAAGAAAATGCAGCCAAAGAAAAAACAGCTCAAACGAAAAAGGCTCTAGGAAAAAAATGAAATGTGTTTGTTTTTTTAATTTAAATTATTTCAATTGCAATATTTAAAATGTTACTTTCAAAGGATAATAATCATTTCACATTTGATTTCTTTTTATATTTTTACTAAATAATAATTGTAATAATCCAGTGAATTTAATAACAAGAAATTTATTTTGGAGTTTGATAATAAAAAGTAAGTTTTTCTCATTCAATTTGCTTTTTTTTGTGAAGAGGATCCAGTGAATATATTGATTGTTTCCTTGATAAGTTTTGAATTCAATACAAAATATGATGGACCTTTGATAATGATAGAAATACCCCAATACTTATAAAAACTTGAAATATGAAAATATACAAATTATTAACAAATTGACAAGTTTAAAATTATTTTGATAACTGCTACCTGACATAATAATAGGATGTAATTAATCTAGATGTGTCAAAATCTAGTATTATTGTTTCATCCATTTTACATTTAGGGGGTGGGTTGGCTCAGTGGTTACAGTCATGACTTTGAGATTGAAAGGTCTTAGGATCAAATCCCACCAGTAAAAAAAATTAAATATTAATTCTAATGCATAAGTAGGATTTACTACTCGGCCATTCACTGCTGGGTTCTACTTAACAGTTCTGTTCCTGAAGTAGCGCTGGGAAACATTAACAAAGCCTACACAGAACACACATGAATAAGGAAGACAAACACAAGCTGAGATTGCCATATTATGTACATACACCTAGGCCATAAATCGAAAAAAAAATTACATTTAAATGAAGAAAGTGAATGGACTTAGGGTATTTCTCTCGAAGGTATTTCCAAGACTATTTATTCAAAGAAAAAAGCGTTGTAAAGTGTATTTTATTCAGGTATAAACATGGGAACGTGACATGCCGCCTTTCAGAACGCTTTAGGCTAGCTGGAGGGTAAACTATAAGCTAGGGAGTATAGTATTCTCAGGGTGTTTTTGTGACAAATATCCTCTAGAATAATTTTTTTAAAACCCCTAAAAAATGCAAGCCAAATGGCCAAGAAGGAATTGAAAGGGGATAATCATAAGTTTTATACTAATTTTTCTTGAGTAATCTAGTCATTTTGCTGAATCCTCTGTTTCTCCAAACATAGTAATTAATATTTAAAGATGATCTGTGTACATATACCTACAAATTTCATGACCTGCAAACTGTCTTAAGTTGAAGTTGATTATTAATAATTAACTTCCTTTAGGGTATTATTTTCTGTTGAGCAATAATTACAAAGAGTATGATTTAAAGATAAACTAATAATTATATGTTTAACAAATAAAAAAAGTTTCATTCATGCAACATTTAAATTATTACTTACTTTGTCGTTTAAGTCCAATAAGTCTCATACAGGATGTCCTGAAAATAAAAATATATTTTATTCTTCTGTAACTAAGAGTCTACTTATACTCCCTTAGTATTTTAATAACTTTTTTACAAAGTAGTGATAAATTTAGAAGAAAAAAAAAATTATAGAGAAAAAAAGCACGTCTCTAGCAATTCAATATTCTTTATTCCCACAACTATAACTGAGGTAAAACATAAACTTTGTTATGGTTCAACCGTTCAACCAGAATTGTTGATTCCACTTCTTAAATACAGATGACGAATTAATTTTTTAAGAGTAGGACGCGATAATATAATAACCTATTAAGTTGAACGAGTGTAATTCATTGATTCTGAATTAGTTCGCTAAAGAATCAAAACAAGCCTATAATAACAGGTTTATAAAAGAAGAAAGCTCCAGGATCGGATAACATAGCTGCGGAGTCATTGCAACTCATTTCAGACTTTATAGCTGCCCCATTCACAAATATTATCAATACTGGCATCTTTCCTTAACTTTTTAAGCCGTCTTTAAATATTTCTATATATGAAAATGGCGAGAAAATAGAAATAACTAACTACAGACCGATGACCCTGATTTCTTCACTAGGAACAATTCTAGAAAAAGTGATAAAACATCGAATACCTAAGTGGCTTCCTGGAAAAAAGACAATATGGATTTAGGGAGGGAAGTTCAAGACGCAATAAGGGAACTGATTAATAAAGTTTACTGTTCGATTGACAATAAACAAACCATCAATAGGAATCTTTTTAGACTTGGCTAAAGCTTTCGACACCATCAATATCATCATTGTCATTTATTAAATTCCCTTGAAGATGTGAGTATAAGGGGTATAGCCAACAATTTAATGAAGTCATACTTAACAAATAGAAAACCAAAATACAAAATAACACTAGCATCGATCAAATAGTCTCATGGGACAGTATTGGGGGCCTCTACTCTTTATAGTCTACCTGAACAATCTCTTTTTAGTTGAAAGTAAAGCAAATTATTATTAGCTTTGCAGATGACACAGTAATGCATTATGAAGCTATACTAATTCGAAAAAATTGGTAGAGTAGGAAAGTATATTATATACAGGGTGTTTCTAAATTCATGCGACAAAATTCAGGAGGTGATTGCTCGAATGAAATTAAGATGGGTCTTTCCTATAACAAAATTTCCTCAGCCCACCCCTTTCCGAGATATCACCCTTAAAAGGTGGTGACTAAAATTGAGTTTTTATTTTTTTTCTAAAATTTCAGTAAAGCTAGAAACTTAAAATTCTGTAATTTTCGTGCACTAGCAAAGGACTAACCACGGGTATTTTTTCAATATTCCTGTTACATTATTTTTTTCGTCTATGTAGAGGTAATGTTTGTTGTATGAGATATGTCGAGGTATATTGTAAATAAATTTTACTTAATATAATATCAGAAGTGTATAAGATTGTATTTATATTAATAATTTGTATTTTAATTGTCTTTGCTTCATATTTTCAAATTCTTACTATTGTATTGTTAAAATTACCTATATGTTTTATTTATTATTATTTTGTCATATTTTTTGTCATACACAGTCTGTCATTGTACTTTGCGTACAGTGAGCAGATTCAGTGATACCTTTCTTGTTTATTTACATTTTATTTCCTATATTGTATTTTATTGTATGTAAAAGTATATATTTCTGGTAAACAAACATTATTATTATTATCATTAAGCTTTAAACTGGACCAAATATTATTAAGCATAAATATTAATGCTAAAATAATCATAAATAAAGTATAAATGGCCCCATTACATTATGAGGGTTCAACTTAATCCGTAATCCTAATGCAAATACTAATAAAATTTTGGACATAATCTGGGAGGGTACTATATAAATAAGAGCCGTTTTTTACATTAATACATATCTCCGTTATTTACGATTGGATAAGAAATTTTACCCAAATAAAAGTTGTTTGTGATGTTATTCTCTATAATTTTTGTTCTATGTATACTTTTCCTAAAATGGACCGTATTTGAGGAAAAGTGCTAATTTTGCATTTAACTCAAAAACGGACACAGAAAAAAACACCAAATTTTAAATTTAAAAGCTTTTAATCCACCCTGCGGCGCGTTGATTAAATTTTGGGCATAGTCGGAACACCTGAGGGGAATTTTTAGGGGTAATTTTTTTACTTTAAAGAATATCTCCATTATTTACGATTGGAGAAGAAAATTCTTCAAACAAAAGTTGTTTGCGAAATCATTCTCTATAATTTTGTTCTATATGCGATTTCTCTAAAATGGACCGTAATAGAAAAATTTGAGAATGTGTAGAATTTTAATTTTGCAGTATTTACGTTGGCAATGAATATATAAAAAAATGTTTCGAGTAAGATGCGTGTATGGAAAATATATGTATTAAACATTTACAGAGGTGATATAATAGGTTGTACAAAATAACCGGAAAAAACCTTTAATAACTATAGACAGGAAAGCCATGTTTTGGGCACATCAGATTTTTTATTAGAAGATATTGTAAATGGGAAGTTTACAATTTTTCATCTTGTACATTTGATAGCTTTATTGAAAAGTCATATATGTGTTGGAAGTTGGACTCGTCCGATAATTTGAATTGAGTTCAGTATATTTCCCGAAAATATTGGCATTTCTTTCTTATAGCTCATTTTTTAATAAAGGGGTTCCCTGAATTAATTTAAAGGGTCCAAATTTCTATTAAATTAAAGCATCCATCGACTAGAAGTTCTCTACTAAATTTTTCCTAATTGGTAAAAGAAAAGTCAAGATATTTTTTTTGATATATACATACTACTGGGACAAACTGTAAATATGACATGCATTTTATTTTCAAAACATGTATAGTAAAGAAGGTAATTGATTAAACGTTCAATTAACTCATGGTACCTTGGGTATAAAATAAATAGTACCTATATAGTTATTTCTAAAACGTACCTAAATTCATTCATACAAAAGTTATTACGATGAAGATCCGGTTAATATTTTGTTTACACCTAATTTTGTTTACTCAGTATGGATTTTGTGCGGTAAGTAAAATTTACTTTAAATCCATATTCTATACATGAAAAAAACGATATTCCCAAAATCAAAAAATTGTTTTATCAATATTTATATTATAAAAGAAAATGAAAGATTTTTGTATTTAAAGTGTATAGAAGGGGAAATGATATTTCGGCGTTTAAGCTAATAAATACAAACAAATTATGTATATAAAAAAAATTATTTGATTTGTGCACTTGAACTCCAAAAAACTTTAATTTTTTTCTATTACCCAATGTGTACATAACATATACTCCCTCTTGAAGGGTTTATATTATAGTTTCTTTAATATTTGCATTAAAAAATATAATATCACTTTTCAGATGTCCGAAAAACAAATGAACGCTACCAAAAAGTTGGTAAGAAACACATGTGTTACGAAAACTAAAGTTTCCCCTGGTAAAATTAAAATTATGGTAATGTAGACAAATAGGTAATTTTTAATTCTTGTAGATGTTGTCGATGCTATGCACAAAGGAGACTTCAGTCAAGGACAGGTATATTTTTTTATAATTTTAATAGGACTATAAAATGATAAGAAATTTAAATTTTTAGTGTTATTTATCATGCATTCTGAACACATACAAACTGGTAAGTAAATTTATCTTTAGAATTGATTATTATATAAACAGTTCTGATTGAAAAAAGGTTGTCGCAATCCTATATATAATTTGCTTATTATATAGCAACTATATTATTCTCTTAAAGCTTTCAGTAAGAATTTATATGTTTAGGTAGTTATTAGACTATATATGTACAGGTTTGCAGAAATCCCTTCTAAAATAAAACATTGTCAGTGAAAATAATGAAAGAGGCAGCTACGATCTATATCGGTATTAATTTTATTACTAAAAGCCAATTTTTGTTGATTTTGTAAAGGTCAGAAATATATAAAGACAATAAATATCTAAGGATTGAACCTTGAGGTTCCTACTTCATATATCAAAGCTTTTAATAATTTTATTCTTTTCGAGTTTGATTTTTTAAATGAGATATCCTGTTCGTTCAGCTGAATTGATACAAAATCCTTACTTTGACTATCCCATGCTAATATTTTAGATTTTACCTGAAGGCACTTTCGACTGGGAAGGTGGCATTAAAGCCATCAATGCGAACATGCCGCCTAACATAGCTGAACCAGCCTGTGAAACTGTCAAAAATTGTAAGGATTCAATGAAGACCAAAACAGACAAATGCATAGGAGCTGCTGAAATAGCTAAATGTTTATATGATGATAATCCATCTGTAAGTATCATCTCAATAAAAAAATACGTGTGGCACTCGGGGACTGCCGCGGTAAAGCTATTGCATAGCATTTTTTTATCAACTTATGCAATTATAATTATTTTATTTCTGCAGTATTTTTTTTTGATATTAATTCAAGTTTTTTCTTTGATATTAATTCAAATTACACTTTTTGAGCGTGGTGACCGATAAGAAAACATTTTTTTTTTATTGAATAAATGAGAAGTTAATATTGTTTAAAATATTTTTATTATCTTACAATACATGTAGGTTATTTAGGAATTTTTATCATTGAAACTATAGGTTTATGGTAACTGAAATAAGAAACATAAGTTTGAGACTTGATATCCTCTAAATATATGGAAAATACCGCGTCATTGGTGGTCCCATATTTTGTTGTGGATTCTTGTGAATCATTATTCATTTTCAAATTCAATTTTTCCGAAATTGTGTCTAAAAGAGATAGAGAATCGGTTAATTATGAGCAGTTGGCAGCTAGTCTACACGCATACGTCTAGTCGCACGCATACAAACACCGTGCCAAAGTCTGCCGAACTGAAACGACGTTAGACGATGCACGGCTTTCAACGCCGCACCGCTGTGCCGGTCGGAGTGGGGGGTGTTAGGTTTATTTTCGTTACGGAATTTCTTTTTCGATTATTTGATTTTTGGGTTTTTTTTTTATTGAATAAATGAGAAGTTAATATTAACGCCGCACCACTGTGCCGGTCGGAGTGGGGGTGTTGGTTTTTTTCGCTACGGTTTCGTTTCTTTTCTTGATTCGGTCGCCGCGCTCAAAGCCCGCGATAAAAGCTATGCAATAGCTTAAAAGAAAGATTTTTTTTATTAAAAACATTGTTTCTTGTCTAGTATTTTTAACTCATTTTTTCTTTTCAGAATTATTTTCTTCCTTAAAAGTACGATTGATCTTTCCAAAGAAGATTGAATCTTAAAAATATTTATTTTATAGTGATGCCATTTTAATGAATAAATAATTCTATTTTTTTGCTTTTTTTTTTCTACAAAATATCATTTTTTAAGATTTTATTAGTATAGGACAATTTTTTAAATATAATTTCTCTAAACATGTCAATTTTTATTGGCAAAGAGATGAATTGTGCCCCATGGAGCAACCCTCTATTTTGGTTAAATAGCAAGTATGGCCAAGTAACACATCATTTTAAAGGTAATATTCACTACATTACTTTTGATTAAAGCACCTTTTACTGGAAAAAAACTGTTACACCTTTTTTGGACCATTTTTGTGATAAATTATAATTTTTCAGTATTTTCCTTGGCAATGAAAATATGTTTTGGATAAAATATATACAGAAATGGATACACCAGACATAATTTTCTATAAAGCTATTAAAAAAAAACTAATAAAACTTAAGAAAACTATATTAACCAAAACTTTATCCTACAAGTATAACTACAAAGCTACTCCTAAATGCTTAATTTCTTCATGTAGCTCACTGTACGAATCTTTATACTCATCATGTGGCCTGATAAGAACTGTCAAGCAGCCTCGTTTCACTCCCATCGCTGCACCCAAGTCTTTTCTGCTGGGGACATACACATAAGGAATATCTTTGTCTTCACACACTATCGGAAGGTGGCACATTATCTCTAACGGCCAGATATCACCTGCAAACACTACAATTCCGGTTTCTCCTTTTCTTATGCGCTTTTGAACGTCTTTGAGACCGCATCTAGCGAACGATTTTTGTTTCATAGCTAAAAAAATATATTTTTAGTAATTATTGACAGTACTACAAATAATTATCATTACATTTCTCATTTAAATGAAATATTATACAGATACAAGTAAAATCATTTATTTACATTTATAGTTTGACAGTGAAAGAATGAGGTTATATCAAAACACATGTTTTACCTTTATGGATTTCAAACTAGTTTGTTTAAAAGTTAAAACTGTGTGTATTTAACTACTTTCTTGTATATTATTAACCTTTTTATCAACCCAATAAACAGGATATTACTAATATTGGTTTTTGGAGTAATTTTAGCTTGTAAATACAGACTTGACTTACGTTTTTTTGATATATTGTAAATAAAAATTTATTACCTTTCTTGACTAATTTATAACACTTTTTCGCCAGCTTTTTCGATGCCATTGGCTTACTGATTTCATTGCAGTTAGCCACTTTTTCTTCATAACTTAATTCATCGACAGTTTCACCTTTAACACTAGTATCGCCCGATTCTTGTTTAATGCTGTCAGATTCATGTTTAATCTTCCCCATTTTAAACTTCAATCTTAGATAAAGCACAAATTGGATATAAACAAATCGAAAATACAAATTACAAAAATAAAATACAAATTACAACGTGCTCTTTTAGGTTTCGACCTTCTTCTTTTTTTAAAATAATATGGCCTCATATAAAACATTTAAAACAACTTACCAACGAATTGTCAAAATTGTTGCCTGTTGGCCCATACCAACTAAGCTCTGTAGCTGGAAAGAACTAGAAAATCCAGAAGAAGAACTATAAAAACCGGAATTATTTTTCAAAATAACCGAAATATCAAAACTTCCATTTTCTAAAATAATCGTCTAAGATCAAATACAAATTTCTCAAATTTCTGTGCACAGATTGTTCTTAAATTAGAGATTTATTCGTTATATATGGCTAATAAGTCTACCAAAGGTAATAAATATGTCGATGGCTTAGAGTACAAATGTTGTATGTCCAAAAATGTCGTTTTGAGTAAAATCGATTTGAAAGTTGGAGGTGACTATGACGAGCGGTATAATTTTTATTAGCATTTCTTTACTTATTGGTAAACCTATTTAAGTGGACGTATTATATTTGGAAACTATAAAGATTTCATCATAAAGGATATAGAATAATACCTATCCCATTTTCGGCAAAAATGGACTTACAATATTTGTGCTCTTAACCATCGATGTTAAAAGTTGCCAAAACAAACATCTTAAATAATAATTTTTAGGTAATGAAATACAGATTTTAAAGGCGAGAGAAGCGGAATTTAATATATTATTTGAGAAAGTACTTGAAAGAGCAGCAAACAATGAAGACACAATTTCAGTTTCTGATATTCCCGATACTTTTGACTCGAACTATACCCGAAGAAAAAATAGAAAAGTTCCGAGTTTGAAAGGAGATGTATTGTCTTATGCCATAGAAAATATATTACTCAGCGATTTAAAAATGTATTTAATTGAAAGGTCTATATCAAAATTATTACAAAATAATCAACTAACTTATTGGCATAAGAAGACTAAGACTGAAATTAGTAAATTAATGAAATATTTAACTAAAAATCAAATAAGAGAGTACATATATAATTGTTATAACAACTATGATATTACATATATTAGTATTTTTATTAATAAGCACAGTACTTTAAAACAGTTGTTTACTAAAAGGGAACTATTCAGAAATAATAATGCAATGGAATTTTTTACAATTAATAATGAAATTCATAAAGAATGGGCTAGAATGAGTAAAATAGTTGCTCCTCAATATTTATTATACTATTCTTGTGAAGTTTTAAAAATGAAAACGGGAAGACAAAACTGAATTGTTCTTTTTTTTTGACAAAATCTATTTTATAAATGGATTACCTAGACAAAAGTTGTAATTTGTACATATTGATGTTTTGTATTACTTAATAAAAATTTTATCTAATAATAATAACAGTAGCCTTTATTGCCTAACTGATTTATAAAATTCCTTTAGTAAATATTTTACAATGTTTAAAAATTGTAATACTTCTCATATACGCACTAGATGTAAGGAAATGTTCATAAAATATAATTTTCAGTAGAAATGTTAGTTATGAGGTCATGCGTTGGGGCCCTCGATTGTTCTGGAACTGCTACAATAAAAAATTGATTGATACCTACTTATACGAGGTACAATTAGTTTAATTTTGGTCAAACTATCTGGTCAGTCGATAAAGTTATATGCATATGTTTATATAAACAAGACAATGAGGCCATAACTCTGTAACCCTAGGCTTTCGTAGTTGAAACTATCTAATACTAGCGGACCCGATACAGACGTTGTCCTGTCTTAATTATGTAAATATTGATTTCGAATTGGTATAATTAACTAAAAAAATATTTCAGAAACAAAGTGTTTATTATTCTAATGCTTTATGATATACTACTCCGATCGAAACATTATTATTGTAAAAAATACTAGTATTTTCCATTTATTATTGTTTTAAGCTTATTTGAAAATTTATTTTTAGTTTGATATGCTCTAAAAGCGTGTTTTTTATTTTTTTTAAACTATATTTATTTTTCACTTTTTAGTTCGAATTATAAAAGCGTGTTCTTTAGTTTTTTTTAAACTATATTTATTTTTTACTTTTTAGTTCGATTAATTATTAAAAAAAAATTGTAAGTTAAAATTGCTGAAAAAAAAATATTTTTTTTTTCAACCGTGGGATTAGAACCCACGGTCGGCGAGTCTGGCAATCAAAAACCCGCGCCTTAGACCGCTAGGCCACGAACGAATTTGAGTTAGGTAGATATACTGACAGTTATAAGTCACTTGAGTCACCGTGCTTGAGTCCAAAGGAGAGTTACATACATAGTGAAGCTAATATAAGCGTGTCAAAAAGACTTTGAATTGATTTCTTCTTTTGTTTTCTTTAGTTTTACATTTGATTTTTATCTTTACAATCTGAAATGACGTAAATCTTGCTTTGATGTTTTTTGTCACTCATGTTACTTGTACTCAGGTACTTTTTTTCACATTATTTTGATTCTTTTCATCAATTTTTTAAAAAATCACTTTATTTTACATTGACAATAGGTCTGTTCAAACAACGATCAGAAATCAGTCACTGATACCGGGATTCTGCGCAGTGGATTACTTCGACCGCCAAATAATATGCTGCGCAGAATCCTGGCATCAGTGACTGGTTTCTGATCGTTGTTGGAACAGACCTTTACATAGAAAATTGACTGCGCTGTCATTAGACATACTAACTACAGTCAATTTCGCGAACTTTATAAAAGAAGGACGGAAGTTTGAAATTTGACCTTTGCCGATTCGTCTTCATAATCGCAGCACCATTTTCATGGTTTCTTTGTTTATAAAAAAACTGACGTCATGTTTGCATCATTTTCCTTTTAATGTCCATGTGTCTGGTTCTCAAATATCTATGTTGTCATATGTCAATATTGCCGTTTGTCATTATTGTCAACAGTCAAACAAAAAATAAACCTTTTCCTTTAAAAAGTTCTAATGATAAAAACAAATAGTTTTAACAGCAATAAACATGGAAGTTATTTGCAATAATTACATGCCAGGTGATTCGCGTTTAGTCGAAAAGTTAGTGTCAGAATTGAAATCGCAAGGGATATTCGATCAGTTTCGCAAAGAATGCATATCCGATGTCGACACAAAGCCTGCATACCAAAATCTAAGACAGAGAGTCGAAGGGACAGTGACTACGTTTTTAAACCAGCAAGCTTGGAGCATTGATTTGAATAAAAACCAACTGCGAGAACAGCTTCGTAAAAATTTGCACGAGTAAGTTGAATAAACATATTTTCAGTCAAACAAAATAGCTTCATTAATATGAAGATTTACATTTGATTTTCAAAAAATAAGTAGATTTTTAGCTGAGATACCATCCTAACCTACAGCTTTTTTCTAAGACCTATTATTTTTTTATTAGTTCACAATATATTTCCATGTTCTTTTTTTAGATCTGGGTTCTTGGAAACTGGTGTTGAAAGAATTGTAGATCAAGTAGTAAATCCTAAAATCAGCACAGTATTCTTGCCGAAAGTGGAAGATGTAGTGTATAGGTTTTTAGGAATAGAGAGACCAGCTGGTCGTATTGTTATTAAAAAGGAAGAGAAGAAAGTTAGGTAATTTTTCTCCAAATTTACTATGATAAATAATATGCTACGTATTGTTTTTAGTATTACAGATTTGCTACCTACAGATTTAGAAGCTGTATCTCCAGAATCTGTAGACAGTTTCAAAACTGAGAAAAAGAATGACAGTTTACAAGATTCGTTACCCTCTAGTGGAAAAATGGAGGAGGATGAAAGTCCTCCATTCGAACCATTGGGCATCCAAAACAGCCATGAGAATTCCATGTCACAAGATGACACCAAAATGCAAATAGATGAACATTCTAGAGATTCCCACTTATCTGGATTTTCAGGTATTTTAATTTTCTCCTTTGGTGTTTGAAATGTCAGTTTTTACAATTTATTTAGGTCTTGAAAGCCACGAATCGAATCAAGGCAGTGACACAAAAACTTATCAAATGGATTTATCCAATCATGATTCTCTGAACAGCATTGAGACCCGTTTATCTATCATTACTTCTGAAGATACAATAAAAATGGAAATTTTTGATGATTTTACTGCTCAAATTAAAAATAATAAATTCGAGATTACCTCAGAAGAAGTGAATACTGCGAATGATGCTGAAAATACCATTTCTGTTGTACCAGGTATATTTATGTCATATAATATCAATTATTTTTCAAAAATGATACAGTACAATTAATTATATAAAATATTTAACAATAAATAAATAAATAAAAAAAAAAAAAAATACAATCAGGTAAGTTTTGAAGTAATTAATGAATGAAAAATAATAAAATCTTAACTATTTGGAGCATGTCAAATAGTTTTTTAATTGTTGGTTTATTTTTAATATTTACAAGAAGAAAATGATTATTAGAACATTGTTGCTTTTTCATAAATAAGTGTTATCTAAGAAAACCTGTAATTAATCGTAAGGTTAAGTTTTTATCCCAACAGAAATCTCACATTTATTTTAGACGTAAAAAAAGAAGAACCAATAAATGATATTATCAGTGAAAAAATTGAAGAACCAGAAAAGAAAGACAGGAAGCACGACAACAAACAAGATGACAAAAAATCAAGAAGCTCAGATAAAAGCAAAGACAGAAAAGAGGACAAACATAAGAAAAGCAGCTCATCATCCAAAGACAAGGAAAAATCATCGTCGAAACATAAGGATTCGAAAGACAAAGACTCTAATAAAAAGGATTCGAAAAGTAGCAGCAGCTCACACAGGGACAAGGATAAGAGTAAAGAAAGAAGCAGCGATAGCAAGGATAAAGATAAATCTTCCAAATATAAGGATAAAAACGAAAAATCTAAACACGAAAAAGACAAAACTGCAGAGAAATCAAAGTCCGACAAAGATGCTGCTAACAAAGATGAAAAAAATAGAGATAAATATAAATCAGACAAGAATAAATATGAAAAAGATAAATCCAGCAGCAAGGAGAAAGACAGGTACAAAAGCGATAAGGATAGGCATTTGAAAGACAAAGAAAAAAGCAAGCACAAAGATAGAAATGATAAAGATAGAAATGATAAAGATAGAAATGATAAAGATAGAAATGATAAAGATAGAAATGATAAAGATAGAAATGATAAAGATAGAAATGATAAAGATAGAAATGATAAAGATAGAAATGATAAAGATAGAAATGATAAAGACAGAAATGATAAAGACAGAAATGATAAAGATAGAAATGACAAAGAAAGATCTTCGAAAAGCAAAGAAAAATCTGATAGAGACAAGGACAAGAATTCCAAAGAAAAATCTTCCAGGGATAAGGATAATTCTGTCAAAGAAAGAGTCAAAGATAACAATAAGGATTACAGTAAAGATAAAATTAAGACTTCCAGCAGTAACAGCAGCAGTAGTGGCTCAAAACACTCTTCCTCTAAAGAATCTTCCTCTAAAGATAAGAAGGACAAATACAAAGACAGCACTACTAAAACCCCCGTCGATGATTCAAAATCCAAATCATCGTCGTCGGATAAGTCCAGAAAGGAAGATACCAGGCATTCCAGCAGTAAAAAAGATCACAAGGACTCTAAGAAAAAATCCAAAGATGATCATTACAGTTCGAAGATCAAAAAAACGGACAGACGTTCGACGGATAGAGACTCGAACGACGGTACTTCGAGTAAAAATAACAATTGCTTGAATAATTACTCGGAGAGCATGTCGTCCAAATCAGAAAATAATTCGCAGGATCAGTCGAATTCGAGTTTCAGCGGTGGATCCGGTGATTCTGGGAATTCCGATCAGGTGGAATCGGCGACGCACAATGCGGTTGAGATTACTGTTGGAAATGGATGCGTTCAAGTAGAACAATCGTTCGTTCCTATGCAGGTGAGTAATATCTTAAAAATCTATAGAGGCAGTAGGTATTTGAAAAATATGACCCTAAACTCTAAATATCTACCAGAGATCGTTAGTAAATGTGTAATCAACTTTAAAGCATTGATGCAAATTTTTGTATTAATAAAACTCTGCATCTGTGTTAAATTTTCTACCTTCATAAAAACTTTTTTCCTCAAAACACTCAATGTAAAATTATATACACAAAAGACTCACATAAAACTTACATAAAACATGCACAAAACTTACATAAAACTTGCTTACATAAAGCTTACATAGTACTTACATAAAACCTATATAAAACTCACATAAAACCTATATAAAACTTACATACAGAAACTTGCATAAAACCTATATAAAACTAGCATAAAACTTACAAAAACGAACGTAAAACTTAAGTACATAACTTAACTTACATGAAACTTACATAAAATTTATTTAAAACTTACATACAACTTACATAAAACATGTAAAACTTTTATAAAACTTATATAAAACAAAATTTATATAAGACTTATATAAAGCTTATATATAACTTACATAAAACTATCTGTAATCTGAAAAGGTTAAGAATTCCAAAAATATTTAAGGCTGATTTTAAATAATTAGGAATTTCTAACTTCAACATCCTGTATCTCAAAATCTAGTCATAGGATAGAATTGGGCGCATGGCCTCTTTTTATGTGGCAAGTAATTTAATATATCAAAAATTCAGACATAAGAAAAGTGGGTGATCCTTAAAACAAAAACGATCCATTATAAATAGTCAAGTACACACGGCGTGCAATCTTATTTTCAGAGCTCAATAATTTCTTTTGTCATTAATAATTTGTAGATTCAACCGATGAAATATATGAAACCCAAATTCGCTTTGAATTTCGAGGAAGCCAGAAAGATCATGAAAATCCGTAAACAGCTAGCCAGAATGGAGAGACAAAATCAACTCAGTTTGACCAGAATCGACGTACCGCCTATCGAAAACGGTATTGCTGTCAAAGAGGTTGAAAACGTCATCGTTAAAGACAGCTTACCGAATAATATCGAGGTTGATAACGAGCAGAGTATTGATTTGTTATGTATGTAGTTTTGTATTTTTTTGCATTGTGACTTTTAAAATTAGGGACTTGTTATATGGCGTATAGAGATTTAGAGAAACTTTCATGCAAGTACAATTATTTACATTTATACCCGATCTAAAACTGATATCTCCAAAATTTTTCTTTGCTAAAAATAGGGGTAAAAGTAGTATATATAGAATTATTTATTAGTGTGAAAACTCAATACGCATTCGCAATTTAGTTTGGCGCCCAACGTGGGGCTTATACGCCCTCGAAATTTAGTTTGGCGCCCAACGTGGGGCCTATACGCCCTCGAAATTTAGTTTGGCGCCCAACGTGGGGCTTTACTTAAAAAAATAGGGATCTAATAGCGGTAATGCATATATGTATATTTTCGTACTACGCTCTTTTTCTATTTGCGTTTTACATCAAAAATAATATTTTTAGCCGATGAGACCGTAAAGGAAAAAGTCAATAATATTACGGATAATCTTGTCTGTATTAGTGAAGATAGTATTATTAGTTCTAATGAAGATAAAAAGAATTTAGAAAGAGATGAACATAAAGAAATGACAATCGAGAGCACGAATTTAAGTATGGAAAACTTCGAGGCTTTAGAAGCTAAGTTAGCCCAAGTTATGTCAAAGGTACATTGTTTAATGTGGCTGAATAACGTTTCTATCATCACAGAACAACCACAAATCAAAAAATAATCTTTATATTTGGCTTATTTGATCTTGATAAATAGTGAATATAGTAAAGTAGGAACTTTTATAATCCATTGGGATATTTTACTATGATTTATGGTTGGTCTTTGCTATCGTAGACGTTCGACATCTATAAACGTAAATCTTTAGCAATACAACTATCAGCGATTGATTAAATTTTAGATAAACTATAATTCATACGAATCGGATGAGGATTACGAATTCCACGGTTACAGCTCGACAGACTTACTCGACAGCATTCCTAAGCAAGCGATCGATTTTCACTTTACAAACACAGAAATGCAGTCAACGAATTATCGATTAGATAAAGAAGTTGATAGTGTTTACATTCTACTAGACGATCGATTATCTCTCGAATCCGAAAATCATCGATTAAACAACGTACCAGAATTGTCGGTGGTTCTAAATAAATGCAATAGCAACGACGACTGTCTTTACCTGGAAAAACCGACGTTATGCGAGGAAAACAATTTGAAATTTTTACGACAGATCGTCTCGAAGCTACAGACGGAAATTAACGATGCCGTCGAAACGACCAGGAACAATTTTTGGCCGTTGAATCGAGGCAAGAAGCGAAAGTTGGAAGAATGCGTCGATTTTAGAAATAACAACGATATTGGATATACCACGACCGGTAAGTTTTGTATTTTTACTGTGAAATTTGATTTATATGCCTTTCAGTTTCTTCGTTTAATCCAGGGAAGTTTGACACATTCCATTTCAAATTTATTTGAATTAAATAATTTGATTTAGTTAAGCAATCTCAGAAGACTGTGGAAGCAGAGATTAAATAACCTTTTCTAATTTGGGAGCTTTAAAGTATACTATGCCTGAAGTCTATGTTTCCATTATGTTTTGATTATTATTTTACCGTCAAAATTTCATGTTTTTATATAAATTTTTAATAAATAGATCTCATAAGACCCGTTTAAGGGCTAAGAATATGGGAGCTCTAAAGTATATTGTTTTTCAATATTATTATTTTTAAGAATAGGCAAGCGACATAGTCAATGAAGCTGCTCTTTTAGATAGTGACAAAAATGATTCTAAACTGCTACATGTTAGTTATAACTTAATATACTAAGAAACTATAATGAGTAGAATTACTTCTTCCTTCTTCGAGTGTTTATCCACTCTCGCCTTGAACTGGTTTATGTTCTGAGCTGAGACTAAGTTCCTGTAGACCATTCCATAGACATACAGTTCTGTTTGTAATGAAATTTCTTTGCAGATTATTACACTTTTCTTTATCTAATTTCTTCGAGTGACCTCTCAAGGTTCTTGATATGCTGGTCTGGAAGATGTCATCGTAAGTGTTCACTTTCGAGTTTCTATCAAGTCTCCTCTAGTTCTTCTAGTTGTACTTTGACTAACCGATCACAATACTCATTGTTTTGTAGGGTTGGTTTATTTAACATTTCGCACATGTTGTTCTTCGCTTTGGTACCAATGCTAACGACTTACTGTGCCGGTATATTGATTATGTACCAGGATGGTACACATTCCCTGGATTAAAAAAAACTGAATGGCTGAAGTTTACGTGTTGCTACAAAACTGGGTCATTTTTGCACACAGTATTTTTGCTTCTACACACTGTATAGTATGTTTTGTTTCTTTTTTCGTTTTATTGCCATTGTGTTTCAACAATTGTATTTATTTTAAGTGAATAAAAGGAGGGGGTCCAATAGTTCCAATACAGTCACCTCAAAGGCTATTAAAAAAAGAATGTGCAATAATACAGGTATTATTTATCAATTTAGAATAGCTGATTGCATGAACTAACTGTAGTCCAATTATTACGTTTCTCGCATTGAACGTAATGATTGGACTACCAACATCTAACTACATATTATATAAACTGTTTATCAATACCTTTTAAGAGGTTTAATTTGTATTGTAGATTCTTTTAAATACGGTATAGGGTTATCAATGAATGGGGAATTTTCCTATGAAGAAAAAATATAAAAATAATAACAAATTTTTTTCTTAAAAATAATTACAAATTAGTTAAAATTAAGAAAGTCGGGTATTTGATTTTTAAAATCTTTGTTCCTATTTTGATATGTGACAAAAAATCGCTTCACAGTGATATTAGAATAGTTTATTTAGACCAGTGTTGTTTAATTTTTAATTAAATAAAGTGGACTGTAAAAAAACGAATATATTACAAAAAAAAATTATGATGGGAAAACAGTATACAAAATTAAATCTGTTAAGGTACATTTACATCTGACATTTATTGCATGAGATTTATGTCTGACAGTTGTTTAGTGCAGTGTAAACAGACAAAAATTTCTCTCGGACATATTTTTGAGTGTTTACACTGGACTAAACAACTGTCAGACATAAATATCATGCAATAAATGTCAGATGTAAACGTACCTTTACTGACAGATGTTCAAAAGAACCCAACGAATTGGTGGCGCCTGACGCTACCTGTTAACATTTGGGGTTTGCATAATATCAGACCACCCAGTGAATAATCCAAGTATCTAAAACGTTATTAATTGCTTTGTTATAGGCTTTAAAATTTTTTATAAATAAAGAAATTAAACGAATGAAGGTATTTTCAATTTTTTAAGTATGTATGTGTGTAAATTTCATTAGTATAGTTAGTTCAATAGGTGATAAGCCTACCTAAAATTGGGTATTCGAATGTCTATCTTCAACTTATGTCTATAAACTTAACTTCTATCGACAAAGTAGCGCTATTTATACAAAAATGCTGCGCATCACCCTATTCTATAAGAAATCCAAGTAATTATCGAATGGCGGTGTTATATTATGATGGATTCCATATAACTGCAGCTAAAATATTACAATAAGTCAGGTAAGCTAATCAGATTCGTAGAATGGCACCGGTTTTAGAGTCTTCACTTAGCGGACGTTGCCACATATCAGAACAATTTTAAATTTAAAAAACTTCTTCACTAAAATATTTTTTAATTTGTGAAAAGTAGGAGAATTCCCCATTTGTTTATTTTATGTTTTTAAATGTGATATATAAAATTGCTTACTAACTCTTTTACATCCGTATTCCCATGGCATTTTTAAATATTTACCTACGTATAAATCCTTAAAATAGAAACGTCAACTTCAATTCAGAGAAAAAGTAGAGTTGGACGATGAGATTTTTCAATTTACATGTGGGTAAATTTAAAATACTTTATAAATTATTAACCATTATAGATACTAACATCTTAAATGTTCTATTTTAACCATTTATATTTTAAACAAAAATATTTTAGTTTGAAATTTTGTCATTAAATATGAAAAAAAAAATTGACCGTTATTTTATTGTTTTTAGATATACCAGATGAACATTTTTCTCTTCCATTGAGTCCAGCCGAAAGCGATAAGTCGAATGATAGAAAAGAAGAGGATCTGTTGATACCGATGAAACAGAAACGGATTATACGAGGATGTAAGTTTGATTGATAATGATTTTTTTTTATTGAAGTTCCTAAAGTAGGCTGTTATTATCTATAAAATAAAAACAAATAATACTAACCGTATTTTCTTATTTAATTTTTTATTAGTATTAATAACAATGTTAAATAAACTTAAAGGCCTTATTTATTCCGTTTGTATATTATTTGCAAAAGTATTGTAGAGACATGAGACAAGTAAATGAACTGCCAAAATAAATAACGGGAAATGATGTTACTTGGTCTTATACATTACGTTGATATATGAAGGGAACAGAGGGACTAGTCCACCGGTATTAAGTTTTTAAGGCAAAATTTTTAGTACAGAATAAATACTGATAACAATGAAGGTTTTGACTTCTTTTGACAAAATTTTACTTTGCGCATAGATGACAATGTTCTAAATATATTATATATAGATATATACAGTTTTTGGCGTTTTCTTCCCAGTTTTTTTGAATTTTACTCAAAAGCAATGCGTTTTAATGAAACATTTTACTGGACTTTTTTTGAAGATTAAACGAGTTTATCGATTATGTCTCTCAAATTCCATATTTTTGCCGCTAGATCGCGCAAAAAAAGTATATATTTTGCGTTTTTTCGCATTTTACATAAAAACCGCGCATTTTCGTGGAAAATTTCATCAAAGCAAAGTTGTAGAGCGAAAAATTTCCTGTCGGTATTCCGGAAACCGATCATTTTCGCCACTACAGTGTACGCTAGAAAGTTGCTGTTCAATTTTTTGTATTATTCCTGAACGAAGCAAATTAATTTAGTTAAATTCCACAATCCATATATTGTAACTACATTTTTTTAACTAAGAAGATAGTTTTGACAGAAATTGAATGATCATTTATTAAAAAAAACGACTCACTTTTATAAAGAAAAATTGTTTTTTTAAAAAATTAAACTTTTTCTCGTACATTTCAATTTTTTTGGAGCACACTGTGTAATGGATTGTCACGTGAACTTCTAACACGTCGTTAACAATAATGTGTATTAAGAAATTGTTATTTACGACGTGCTCGAAGAGCACGTCGCAATCTATTATACAGTGTGTCCCAAATTTTTTATGCACATGAGAAAAAGTTATATTTTACATTTTACAAAAAAAATATTTTTGCCAAAAAGTTTTGCATAACTTAGGAATTTATAATCAAACATATCTTGTAAAATATAATATTGTTGAGTTTGAAGTGATGCAGAACTTTTTATCAAGAATAATTTTTTTAAACAAATTTTTTCTCGTGTATAAACACGTTGTTAACAACAAAGTGTATTCAGATATTGTTGTTAACGACGTGCTCTTCGAGCACGTCGCAATTTTATAATATATTTCTGTTATTTTTAACCCATTTAGCGTCATTTTTTAAAACTTGAAATTAAAAACGTTTGTTTTCCGTAATTTAACCAGTTTTTAAGATTTTTCGAAATAGAAATTATTTGTGGACTCGTCAATTATAAAGTGTGTCCCAAATATTTTTTTGGGCTGCCCTTTTGGAGGAGGTCTTAAAATATGATAAATTAACATATTTTCGTACGAGACTAAAAAAAAAGTCGGTTTTTTTGCGGCACCCTAATGTGTATACATTTTTTTGGGATACAAGAATCATTGTTTTTTTGAAAAGACAAAACTTTTTCTTATGTGTATAAAACTTTTTGGAAAACATTGTCTAATGGATTGCGACGTGCTCTTCGAGCACGTCGTTAACAGCAACGTGTATTCACATATCGCTGTTAACGACGTGCTCGAAGGGCGCGTCCCATTCTATTATACGGCGTGTCCCAAAAAATTTATACACATGAGAAAAAGTTTTGTTTTTTAATGTGTATAAATTTTTTTAGAACACACTGTATAATGGATTGCGACGTGCTCTTCGAGCACGTCGTTAACATCAAAGTGTATTCACATATCGCTATTAACGACGTGCTCGAAGGGCGCGTCGCAATCTATTATAAAGTGTATCATAAATATTTTTATATAAATGAGAAGTTTATTTCAAAAAAAAAAAAAAAAAATTGTTCTTGATAAAATATTTTGCATCACTTGGGAATCTACAATCATTACATTTTGTGAAATGTAGATGGTATACAGGGAAAATAGAAATGAAAAGTTGTTTGTAGTAGTTAATTATACTCAAGCCTGTCTTTTGGCATATTTATCTTCGACCCCTAATGGGTATGTTTAGCATTATAATCCCTGTCTAGAGTAACAAAAATTCTCCAAATTATTATTTTTTGATATATTTTTTTTTCAACAAAAGTTTTTTCAAGTTTACACATTTTTTTGGGACCCACTGTATAACAGATGGGGACATGCTCTTCAAGCACGTCTTTATCAACAAAGTGTATTCATATTGTTGTCCAAGTGATATGGAACATTTTATTAAGAATAATCGTTTTTTTTTTCTTAAAGAAAACTTTTTTTATTTATATAACATTTTGGTTTGGCGAATGGACTCAAAAAATTCAAATTAAAAAAAAGAAACATTTTCTACGACACATTGTATAATAAATTGCGACGTCGTTAATAACAATATCTAATACACTGTTTTAGTAACGAGGTGCTCAAAGCAATCTATTACACAGTGTGTTTCAAAAAGTTTTATACACACGACAAAACTTTTTTTTTTTCAAAAAAATAATTATTCCTGCTAAAAGGGAGTCGTTTTTTCAATAAATGATAATTTTTTTGTCAAAACTGTCAGTTTAGCTAAAAAAATGTAATTGCAACATTATGGATTATGGAATTCGGAAATAAATCTCAAAAATCTCCTTACGAATTATTAAATCATTTCCCGAATCCCAAAGTTAAAAACAAATATTTAGAGATTTAAAAAAAAGCCTGTCCTCGCCGAGATTTGAACCCAGACATCTTTACACTCCTTTACCGCTAGACTATGACTATATTAACTGTGGAGAATTTTAGACAGCAATTTCGATAGAAAATCATCTGTTCTTCAAAAAAAGGCCAGTACAAATTTTCATGAAAACGTATCGTTTTTGAGTAAAATACAAAAAACTGTATATTTGTATATATAATACTTCCGATCGTTATTATCTGGATCTCAATGCTGTACTAAAAATATTCGTTTTAGGGTAATTTTCTATAAAATTCCGGTGGACTAGGCTGTCCGATTAAAAATATATGTACATATACAGGGTGTTTCATAAAGAATAGTAAATATTTTAACAATAGATTCACGACCTCAAAATAAAAATACTATCAATAATAATCGTATGTTTATTGCTATTTTTCGACTTTATATTTGTTTATTCGTATAGTTTAGTTCTGGTAAATAAAAAGAAACGTTTATCGTTGCAGATTCACAACGGTATTCCAGTGAGGACCTTTACAAACCCAGGCCGATCATTAGTAGAAGAAATAGGTTTTCCAAGAATACTAATTAAAACCTTTTTTTTTTGTAAAAAAAGTTTTTATTTATCTTAATTACAGTACAGTGCTATATAAAAAATGCCAAGTAGGTTTTTTTAGATTAGGTTCGATACATAAATATATTTTTATATCTACAGTATTTCTACTGAATTGAATAAAATTAAAAAAAAATCGCATAAACAGTCAAAAGTTTAATTTTAATTCCTATAATGATATGCGGATAAAAAGTCTTTATTATTACGATTCTGTGGTTTTGGGGAATAAGGGGATAAGTCATTTTTCTAATAAAATTTTTGTAAAATACGTTGAACTGTACTTAAAGAGTTCAACCTAGCACAATAATATGAAATCGATATGAATTTATGCCTATTAGTATAAGATCCGACCATATGTTATGAAAATACAATTTTTATAGATAATTATTGATAGAGAAATGTAGATTTGCCGGGTTGCCTATCAAAATATAGTCGGGAGTCTACTATAAGGTATATTTCTGTTATTTATGATTATTGAATTAAATTATTTTAACAAAAGTTGTTCATAATGTTATTCTCTATAATTTTTGTCATATACATGATTTCTCTATAATGGACCGCAATAGAGAAATTTGAGGAAATGTCCAAATATTCCTGTAAAGTTATCAAAATATTGATTACGGCCTATCTAATCAAAAAGTGTTTAGAATATGAATAAATAAAAAAATATTTCATAATTTTATTGCCAACAAAAATGCTAAAAAAATCAAATTTTGTTCTTTTCTTAAAATTTCTCCATTACGGTCCATTTTAGAGAAATCGTGTATATGATAAAAATTATTAATATTACAAACAACTTCTGTTAGAAGAATTTTCTTCAATAATCATAAATAACAAATATACCTTAAAGTAGAAAAAAACTACTATTAAAAGTACAATATATTGATAAGCAGCCTCGCAAAGTCGTATTCTCTATTAATAATTATCTATAAAAATTGTATTTTATTTACAACCATATATGTAATGTTGTCATTACTAACTTCATTGAAGGTTGGGAAGTGTCACATTACACACCTCTCCTTCCCGCCCTCATTTCATCTATTCTAGATTAATATTTTTATATATAAAAAGAATAACACATTTTTTTGATAAATTTTATAATACCTATTTAATGGCAAACAATAAAAAACAATAATGAACTAAAATACAACAAACTACTTACTGATATTTATTATTCGCGAATTTAATATCCGGCTTTATCTGACATTTATTTATATTGGTGACAGTTGTTTACCCTGTAATCACAGTAACAATATATTTACTTGATTATTCTGAAAAAACCGCGCGTTTGGTAATTTGTCGTTAAATGTAATATTTTAGGTATGTTCAGAACGAAACAGAAATTTATTAACTTTGATCGAAATATGATGGTTGTAAATAAAATAGTATACAAACCTCGGTAGGAAGTTTCATTCCTGTCTCGAGATCATAGCTAACCTCGACGCTTCGCGTCTCGGTGATCTAACTAATCTCCCGACAGGAATGAAACTCTTCCCACCTCGGTGTGTAATATACTATTGATCAAAAAATGGTCGGATTTTAGACTACATTTAAAATCAGCGTTTCAACTTCAATCGATTCTCTCGAAAAGCAACAAATTTGGATATATTTCCCGAAACCATCGAATTATTTGATCATTTACTGTTTTCTCTTAATATAAAATATACTTAAAACTCCGCAAATAACTATCCACATGCATAAAATGCCGAAACCGTACAGGGTGTCCGAGTCGCAAACGGTCAGACCTTTCTTGATAACGTTCCTGAGCGCGGTCGTCGGAAGGGACAAAGGCAGGCATTTGACTACATACAGTAGATACTCGTTTATGGCTTCTGCTGGCCACATAATACCTAAAAAATAAAAAAAACGTACATTATGAAACGGTTGATAAGATATGCACGTCATGGATAAAATATATCAGGTCGAGTGGCGTAGTCACGAGGGATTTTGGGGGTCAAAACCCCCACCATTTCCTCTATTAGCACTAATCGCTATTGACTGTTTGTTTTTATTCGCTTTCTTGATGGAACCCTCCACATTTTTCAAAAAACCCCTCCCATGAAAAATGGCTGGTTTTTTAAATATTTTTCATTTTTTATGGCCCTGTTTTTATGAATACGCTTTTAATATTTTCGATATACAAGTTTTTAATAACAATAAAGCACACATTTCAAAATGACAACTTCATTTGACAGTCTTCTTTTACTTTGACGGGTGCTCGTAAATACAGGGCCATAAAAAAGGGGAAATATTTAAAAAGAAATCAGCGATAACTCGTAAACGGACTATTCAAAATATCAAAGTTATTCTTTTGAATATGGATTTCAGTACTCTTTAATAAATCCAAATAGAATGTTTGATTGAAATATTTAGTGAAGCCAATAATTGACCCTATTTAAAATTACAAGGAATTTCTTATGTTCCGATCACGATGCAACACCCGGTATAGTAGACAGAACATTCTTAAGAAAATCGATGGATTGATATTAGCTGATAAGTACTTAGTTTAAGCTATTTAACCTGTGCGACCTGGATCTATCTTGATTCTAAATCAACTTTGACACAGATAAGATCTACGTCCGACATTTTTTTTTTCTGACACATGTCTAAGGCACCTTTGTTGGGTTACCATAGCCTTAGATATATCACGAATTTTACCATGGTTTGGTTAGGTTAGGTTAACAACAATAAACTTTAATAACGACGTGCTCGAAGAGCACGTCCCAATTCATTACACAGTATATTCCAAAAAGTTTTTTACCCATTAAAAGACAAAACTTTTTTATATGTATACATTTTTTGGGACACCTTGTATAATAGATTGCGACGTGCTCTTCGAGCACGTCGTTAACAACAATAAACTTTAATAATGACGTGCTCTTCGAGCACGTCGCAATTCATTACACAGTATATTCCAAAAAGTTTTTTTACACATTAAAAGACAAAACTTTTTTATATGTATACATTTTTTTGGGACACCTTGTACAATAGATTGCGACGTGCTCTTCGAGCACGTCGTTAAAAACAATATCTGAATACACTTTATTGTCAAACTCGAGATAGCGTAGTCAGTAAGAGTGGCCAGTTTAACTAAATTTCTAGTTTTTCCAAATCACAGGAATACGAGTATCATTGAACACTCTGTATAATTTCGTTTAACTTACCGCTGGCTAATACCAAAGGGTTAAATATCCCAGAAACTAGAATATTTGCAGTTACGTGACTATCGCTGACGATAGATATACCAAAACCTAAAAAAAACCAAATATAGTCAAAACAAAAAAAATGTTTCAATACATTAAAAAATAAATGATTAATGAATTTTCCGAACATACCCAAAACGATTCCAGCCAACCCCTGCAGGTAAATCAGTAAATAAATCAGCCACAGAGATCCTACGTAGGGTTGTTGAAAGCAGAAAAATACGAGCACCACCAGTTCCAATGCCATAAATCCCATAAACGTCGTTTGGAATAATAAATGCGACAAACTGAGTTCCACAGACGTCACTCCAGCCACTATCGATCTGTCCCATATACCTTCGCATTTTTCATCCAAAATTATCACGCACGTCATCATCACGCCCATAAAGTAAATCATCCTACAAGAAACAAACTAATGTATTGATGTATCAATGCATTAATTTATTAATATATTAGCGTATTAATGCATTAATGTATTAATATATTAGAGTATTAATGTAATAACGTATTAATGCATTAAAGTAAAGTATTAAAGTAGAGTGTTAAAGTATAAAAGGACTAAAGTAATAAAATATTAAGTATTAACGTATTTAAGTATTAAAGTATTGAAAGTATTAAAGTAAAGTATTAATGTAGTCTCAGGTATTTCAATGCTTGATCCTGGGACATACCGTTTATTACTGATATACTTGATTTCAATACAAAATCACAGCGAGCCTAGGGTAGAACCCTAACAAAGATAATATAGTATTTTATTCGCCATACTTATAAAATACTATAATTTCTTTAGTTTCCTATACCTACTCAATGAATGGTATACTTACGTCGTCACTATCCCAGGTGTCATAAAAATAATAAACTCGTCGTTTTGATCTCCGTAAAAATATTCTTCCACTCTGAGTGGAAGTTGTGTAGAACCGGACAAAAAATTGCAATCTTCGTGAACCTGTTTGTGGAATTCTTGATATCGTTCGGCTATTCTCATTTTTAACGTGCCTCCGATCTGAAGGGCTACAATTTAGAAAATAATATAGAATTTATACTTTTTATTTAAAAATGAAAGTTCTCTAAAAAAATAATATATTGTGTCTATCTAAATTTCACTGTAAATAGATTATTGAGCTAGTATGAGACACGTCTGTTAAATGTGCGATAAGTACTTTTAAACAAAAATTCATTTTAGCATTGTTAAAACTGATATTATATATTTATTGATAGCTGACATTTGTATCCATAACTTTTATCTCCTCATTTCACTTGCTAGGGGTATTCCTCTTTTACAGTATTTTGATTCTAATCAGAATAATTAATTTTGGCATATGTTTGTATCGCAAGTTACATCATATAAATATTAGTCTAGTTATATTGCATCTATCATCATCTATAATCTAACAACTGTCTCTACAAACCCTACACCTTTCTTGGCATAGGTTTGCATCCTGAGTTACATCATATAAATATTGGTCTAGTTATATTACGTCTATGATCTAAAATCTAACAACTGTCAACATCAGTGGGATTCTCATCTTTCAATTCGGCACGTGTTGAGAAGCGTCTATCTTCGTTCGACAGAATATGATTGTTATGTAATGTCTCTCTCTCTCTCTCTCTCTATTCAACACGTAACGTGTGAGTTCGCTATCCCAGACCTTTCTTGACATCTCTAGTTATATTATATAAATCTTAGTCTAGTTATATTACGTCTATGATCATCTAAAATCTAACAACTGTCAAATGGTATAAATAATGAAAATAATAAAATCTCAAATTGTAAAATATTGAGAGGTTCTCGGTATAATTTGGATCGTTTCTCGTAGTCACAATAAAATTTTGATCATATTAAAAGTTATTTCCAAAGTTCTATGAATTTTTTTAGAAATGAGTTTTTAAAATCAAAACTAGTGTAAAGTGTGTTGCCTACAGTTTGGGATTTAGGACATCACGCTTTTTACAGAATTATCTTTTTTATTACAATTTCGTGATTTAAGATATTTGAGTTATCCCGCAATAACTAAATATTTTTTATGAAAAAGTACTTGTACTTACATGACATATCGAGATAAATTTGAATTTCTTCATCGGGTAGATCGTCTAAATCGAGGCCTTCAGTCAGTCTGTTTTCCATCAATTTTGATAAATTCTTGTGCAAATGTACAAACCCATATAATTTACCGGTTTTTAAATCCTCCATTGCTTTACTCCTTGAATCATAGAATTTCTAAAACAGTTATTTGTATCTATCTGACTACATATCTTGAATGCGGTGCATTAGTAATGACGTGTAATTATCGGGTCGGTGGTGTAGCGGTCTAACGCGCTTATATTCATTTATAAGCAAGTTTATGTGTCAGAGACTGCTGGACTTCGAATCCCAGCCCAGACCATGTGGATTTTTAATTAAATTGCATGGTTCGGTATAGGATTTGATGTGTGCCGTATTAATAGAAATTCAATTTCTGTTGATATGACATGCAGATTATAAAAAATTGCCGTACATTACCGTCTCGATGATGGTGAGTGAGGATTTCCTCACCTGTAAGTCAAATGGCACCATCAATCATCTTTAAGTCGCCCCGGAGCGCCACGACAAATAATAATAATATCCGTCCCTTTCCCGCACAAGCTCAGCTTTTGGGGTTAAAATTCACTCGTAAGGGGGTGAATTAGGGAGAGTATTATTATTATTATTATTATTATTATTATTATTAATTTAACTAATTAGTGATGGTGGGTGAGGTTTTCCGGGTTTTCCTCACCTATAAGTCAAATGGCACCATCAATCATCTTTAAGTCGCCCCGGAGCACCACGGCAAATAATAGGCTTTTGGGGTTAAAATTCACTCGTAAGGGGGTGAATTAGGGAGAGTATTATTATTTATATATTTAATTAGGACCGTAAATAAAACATTAATTAAACAGATTCCATTCTTCAAACATATATGCTCATTTACACAAAAATATGCAACACATAATACTAAAGAGTATTGTGGGTTGCTACCCTCACAGTTTAAAAATTAAATATTATCTAGTTTTTAAACTGTCATTATTTTATTTAGGTGATTTTTAGGTCTTAAAATATAAAGTACATAGATAAAATTTTAGTTAAATAACTGTTTTAATATAAAAATAGAGGGTAATTGTCAATTTAAAATTAATTTCTATTATTTTTAAGATTATTCATCAAACTGCAGTATATTTGATGTTTTGTAAACGGATAGAAAGTTTTTAGAGAAAAATTTATTTAAATTTAATATATCTAGTTTTGTTAAAATGTCCACCCCCCCCAAAATCCAGGCAGTTGGTTCCAAATCTAAACAATATACCTACCTGTTATTTTTATGTTCTTCCCCCAAAAAACTGTGCTTTCGTACGGCCGTGATTTTTTCAATATACTATCGGTAAAGTATCAAAATTACCACGCTAAGAAATAGCATGAAAGCAATAGAGTATAATTACTGTATTCAAGATTATTTAAAACAAAAATATATTTGAATATTCCTAAAATTAAAAAGTGGACATCGTGTATTATAAACTTTGACCTTGAATTGAATCGGTACATTTTTGCAGTGAGCAAAAACTTATAATAATATAAGAATCAAGTAGTCTATGATTTTCGAGTAAACAAAGCGACGTCGACTAATCAAAAAATTACGTTACATAGAAATAAAAGATGGTGGATACTTGTGAGTGTCGAGACATTAAAAAAATATAGTGATTTGTCTTCATAAAAATTATTTTTCCCACTTAAGGTAAGTTCATTTAGGTATTAATTTTAAATACTGAAACAAAATATTTGATAACTAAATGTTTAGCCCTAAATAAGTACCTATAGGTACATCAATTTTTTGTAAATTGACAACTAGGTAATTTTGCTTGCATAAGTTGTGACTGATTAGTGAATAGGTAAGGGAATTTTCCGATTATTTAATAGGAATCAAATATCTCCGCTCCTAGACATAGAAACGTATATTTTTTTTCTAGCATAAGTTAGGTACAAATACCACTATAACCTAATAAAGAGAACGACTTGCAAGATCAAATAGGGCGTCAATCAACCTATAGATAAATCAATGTTTTTACAATATTTTTACATTTACAAAAGAACCCCGAACAAAATAGGTACCTACTTACTTCTTCAATTAGAGGTATATTCAAAAAATCCACAAATCGACAGCTAATACTGTTTATATGACAATCCCATTCGCCGTAACGCACCACCGATTGGTTGACTTCAAAATGTTTACAAAAATCTCGGGTTCTTTCTTCGTTTACAATACCAAAAGGTACATTTGTTGGGTCTCTGCCAATTGCTATCAAGAAACATAGCACTTGGATTCCGGGCATTAGTACTGGAAATATACTGGCTCTAAAATTTAAAATAAAAACAATATGTGTCAGTAACTGTTGTTTATTTATATCTAATTTAGCTATTAGAAGGTATTTAATAATTTAAAATATTTATTTATACATATACAAATATAGGCTCAATAAAAGTAACAAAATATAATGTGGATAATTAAATTAGTTTTTTAAATAATTAGTTACTTACAAATGATTCCGCCTCAGACTCTTCCAATTTTTTTCTAAAAGGGCTTTGAATCTATGCATAGCGAATATTCGATTGGGATTTTTGGTAGTTTCTTCAGTCGTCAAAACCTTAAAATAATAATTGGTTATTTCAGAGATTTGCGGAAATAAAAAACGATTTGGCAACTGTGCTATTTTAATGTATTGTTCCAACAAAAAGTTTATAGGTGTTCAGAATCCGATTCACAACCAAAACTACTTAGTGGCATATTGGTAGGGATGGCAACTCAATTCAAAATTGTTTAAGTTTGTGGAGGGAAGCACTATAGTAACCCCCCAAATCTGGTCTAATTGTATCATTATTCAGAAATGTTGAAACCGTGAAGTAATATTTGATTCTTATTCTGTACTTGTTTATTATTATTATTCTATTTATTTATATTGGAAAAACTACTTCCGAAAGCTTCTACAATTTTTTATATAGCTTTATTGAAAAACTTATTTAAAGTGTCATAAGATGGAGTTCAAATTATACATTAGTTTTTTTATAAAATGTTTCTTGAGATCCTTAAATTTTGTAGACAACGTGGCAACGTCTATTTTCATGAGTTTATGACGTGCGTTAGAAATTTCAGTGCATTTACTTTATTTATATTTTTGATGTGTTTTTATATTGGGGAGTCAATTTTCAAAATATTCCATTCACTATTTTAATAAAAAATGTATCGTAATGTCACGAATGTCAATCTTACCGAAAGAATATTTCGAGAATTGTCGTTTAGGTACTGAATACGCATAAAAAGCATAAACCCAAAAAAGTGCATGTTTACCTAAATGCGAATATAAGTTTTTTAATCATGTCACCTATGATTTCGCGTTACCAAGGCGACCGTGAACAAGAAATGACTTATATTTAATAAAATGGCTACTAAAACATTTTTCAAGAAATATCATTCAGATTTTGGTACCTACTTTTGCTAGGAATATGAAAAATCAGTTTTTTTTCTACTACTATTTCTACATTTTAAGGTAAGGAAAACGTTTTTTTTATATTATTACAAGCTAATAACTATTATGAATCTGTCAAAGTGTAATTGCAGAATCTGTGCTGAAGAATAGTAATTATTTTATTAGATATTAGGTACATATTTAAACAAAATATTGATATACATTTAGCAGTAATAAGTGTCGTAGGTCAATATTATGGTTATTTAGGTATATGTATATTAGTTTCTGATACATTGATAAATAATTTTGCTAATATAAGTGGTAGAGTTCGATATTTATTGATTAATAATGACGGATAAATCAATGTTATACATTTTTTTAGATTTACAATAATGTCTCACCAATTGGAATTATTTTAAGTAGAAGAATATACAAGTTTTTTCCAAGCTCATTTCTCTATGTTTTTGTGAAAGCTTTTATCTCAAAATAAGAATAACTTCGCATTTTTTGTAATTTTTTAATAGTTTTCTTATAGGATTTAGGTGTTGGATTTAATAAAACAATGTGGTTTACGTTTGTATACCTTTTGGTACCTAGTTTGGACCTTCCAGTACTTATACTTTTTATTTATTGATATTATTAACATTTTTTTTCTTTTAATACATTTTTTATGTTTATATTATTATTTTTTGTGGGGTTGACGATTTATTTGTTCCTTTATTAATTATTTTAATATTTAAACAAAATCTAAATGCCTAGAACAAATATTATGGAGTTTGTGCATTAGTTTTTCGTAATTTGATAAATTATTTTGCTTATACAGGGTGTTACATTAGTGCATAATTACTCAATATTTTAATTTGTGTCACAGACATGCAAGCAAGTTAAAAAAAAGTTATAAGGACTTAAAACAGTAACAATTTAAAAATAATATAATTTATACAGGGTTTTCCAGGAAAGTAATACATGTCAAAGTTAGTTTTTTTTAGATATTAAGAAACTTTTTTTTTCCATTTTTTAAAAATGTACCTATATGGGTTTAAAAAAAATAAAAATAAGTATACAGGGTGAATCACTGGTAACGTCTTGGTTTTTTAAAGTAGTTTGTTTTTAAATCTGTTTCCCTACGAGATGTATATTAAAGAAAGGACTGTTTTAAAAATAATTTTAATTATACATATCAAAGGTAGTTTTTTTTTTTAATGAGACAAGGTGGAGCATTTTTTTAAATGGGATCCATTTTTAGGTATGGAGAAAATGTTCTTATACCTTTTTAAAATAGTAGGGTTAAATAAAATTAAAAAGTATATAGGGTGGGACACCTGTAACGCCTCGATTTGTAAAGTCTAAATTATTTTTTAAAATCTGTTTCCACTACGAGATGTGTTTTAAAAAAGGAACAATTTAAAAGTAATTACCATTATACAGGATTTTCAGGAAACCAATACGTATCAAAGTTAGATTTTTTTAAATGGGCCCCATTTATATGCAGAAAATGTTGTCTTTTCTTTTTAAAAAAAATTAAAAGTATACAGGGTGGGTCACCGGTAACGCCTCGCTATGTAAAGCTAAAACTAATTATTTTTAAATGTTTCCACTGTAAGATGTATAGGTATTAGAAAAGGTAACAATTAAAATAAAAATATTATACAGGGTTTTCCAGGAAAGTAATACATTTCAAATTTTTTGCCTGTATTTGTATTTTGAAATCAACAAAGAAAAATATTGTAACTTACTTTGTTGAACCCAGAATATAATTTTTGATATACAGGGTGTTTCTAAATTTATGCGACAAAATTCAGGAGGTGATTGCTCGTATGAAATTAAGATGGGTCCTTCCTGTAACAAAATTTCCTCAGCCCACCCCTTTCCGAGAGTTTTTATTTTTTTTCTAAAATTTCAGTAAAGCTAGAAACTTGAAATTTTGTAATTTTCGTGCACTCGCAAAGGACTAACCACGGGTATTTTTTCAATATTCCTATTACATTAAGGGGGTGAAATTAGCAACCCTTACTTTATTTCATAAAACTTCATCTCGAAAAAAAGTTTTGATATGAAATAAATTAAGGGTTGCTAATTTCACCCCCTATTATGTAACAGGAATATTAAAAAAAATACCCGTTTTTTTTTCTCCTGGGCTCGTCTATGTCCCCGAATAACACTAAAGCTTATTGTGTTTTACCCCATGTTAGTTCATAGCACCCACTCTGTCACCTTTGTACCTTGTACAAGTTTGTACAGATCCTTGAGTTCTATACGTTGTTGGATCAACCTGGGGTTGTTTAAGTGTCCCTTTACTGAGGCGTGCCCAGTCATGAACCCTGTTATCCCTTTCAACTGGTTCCCATTCATAAAGAGTTGTTCTCCAGTTCTGTTGGGACATGGTCTGCCTATGAAGGCTTTTCCATGTGCCTGTTTTGGGGTGCTTCCCCAATAGTTAATATGTTGTTCCCGAATCCAGTCGTTTATGAAACCGCGGACTGTACTTTTTGGTACTCCTGGGTTTGTGTCTGGTTCTGGTATTTCTTCTGGCCCTCTTTTTGCAAGTTCGTCAGCCTTTTCGTCGATTTCGATAACTTGGTAACCTGACACCCAAAATAGTTTTACTTTATTGTGGTCTGATCTCATGTCTAGCACGTCTCCTCACTAACCTTCAGATACTCATGTGACCTGGCCTAATGTCAAGATTTCCCAGTGTATTCCCTAATTTGTAAGCACCTAATCTTGCCTCCCCTTGTATCACATATTGAAGAGGTGGGAGTCCTATTAGTGCTTCCATTGCAGCTGTGGAGGTTGTTTTCATTGTCCCCGTTATTCCGAGACAGGCAAGTTTTGTACCTTTCTTAGCCTCATTATTGCTTTCCTTTGCTGTGTCTTTGGCCACCACACCAAAGCTGCGTATGTTATTATCGGTCTCACCACCATGTTATAAAGCCAATATACCATGTCTGGTTTTAACCCCCATAGCCTTGCCATCATTAACGAGGTTTGCGTTCTCCTTGTGGTTTTTTCTAGATGATGGTTCCAGGTAAGTCTCGAGTCAATCATAACCCCGAGATATTTTACCTCCCCCTTAAGCTGAATGTTTGCAACTCTTAGGTTTAGAGGCCATATTCCCTCCAATTTTCTCCTGCGGGTGAATGCAATTATGTCAGATTTGTTTAGCCTTTCACCTCTGTCCATTTTGTTACTATATTTAGAGCGTCTTGCATTCGATCTCTTACTATAGTGTTGTATTTTCCCTGTGCCATGATCACTAGATCATCAGCATATCCCAGGGTTCTAGGTCCCTTATCTTTGAGAGCCCTAAGCAGCCCGTCCATTAAAGGTTCCACAGGAGTGGAGACAGCACTCCACCCTGCGGACATCCTCTCGCTACCCGTGTCGCTATTGTCTCTCCCATAAGGGTTGTGTGTATAGTTCTCTCCCTTAACATAGAGTCGATCCAGGACACGCACGTGTCCTCGATTCCTCTGTGTTTGAGAGATCTAATTATTGATTCAACAGAGGTATTGTCAAATGCACCCAAGAATGCTCCCAGCATTACCTCCTCTTTCAGTTGATTTCCCTGCACTATAGGCGTATTGGTCTTGGTATATTGGCCTCTGAACCAATATACCGTCTCTAATATGCCTATCTAGCTGTTTTTCCAAAGTCTTAAGTACAAAGGACATAGGACTTATTGGTCTTAGGGACTTTGCCGTTTCCTGTCTTATTTTTCCAGGTTTTGGTATAAAAGTTACCCTAATATTTCTCCAAGCTTTTGGTATGTGTCCAAAGGCCAGGCTACTTCTGAGAATGTTACAGAGTCTGCTGTATAAAATATCAGGACCTTTTAGTAACATTATTGGATTAATCCCGTCCACGCCCGGTGATTTATATGGTTCGAATGAGCTAATTGCCCATTTCAGTTTACCATAGTTCACCACTTGTTTGGCTATCCTCCAGTCTTCCCTGTTGGCTCTATTATGAGCTTCCAGTCCGTTTAAATTCCGTTTAGCCGGTGTGTGTGTGCTATGGTTTGTGCACCAGGGAAGTGAACCCTGAAGAGTTCCCTTACTGTTTCATTCACTGTGATTGTGTACTCCCCCAGTTCATTCTTAAGGGTGTTTATTGTGTTGTGTGTGTTTTGAGAGAATTTTTTGGAGCCTGCCACATTCTTGAGTGCCTGCTATCTCCTCATAGTGCCTTCTCCAAGACTCTCGTAAGGCTGTAAAAGATGCGCATGGTTTTATATGGTTCCCATTCGGCAGTTATTTTACCCGTGGTTAGTCCTTTGCACGAAAATTACAGAATTTCAAGTTTCTAGATTTACTGAAATTTTAGAAAAAAAATAAAAACTCAATTTTAGTCACCACCTTTTAAGGGTGATATCTCGGAAAGGGGTGGGCTGAGGAAAGTTTGTTATAGGAAAGAACCATCTTAATTGCATACGAGCAATCACCTCCTGAATCTTGTCGCATGAATTTAGAAACACCCTGTATTTAAATGTTTTCAAAAATTTAAGGCGTTTAATGTCCTAAATTTTTTAATATTTTAAATTGATTTTATTAGATAAATTTAGACTCTTCTGGGCTGTAAATTCAAATATTTATTGATCAAAAATATTATACAGGGTGTTTATGAAATTGATGTCTTCTTATTACTTATATTTTCTAATGTCTAGACTAGACAAGACTGTATAAGAATATTTCTTTTGTAAATCCATAGAGTAAATGTAAAAAATGCTCTTTTAATATTCCTTCAATAAATCTGTACCATAGGGGTAAATAATCTTCAGTTTTGTATTTTATAATAGTAGAAAATAGTAAACATACTAAATAATTTATGATATAGTACGTTTAGAAAAAATACTATTTTAATTTTTCAAAGAATTAACAATCGTTTTTCCAATTTTGTATTTAATTTTTTCAAAATCTATAAGATTGAAAATAAAATTCTTTACCTCTCTTTTGACATTTTCACAATTCCCTAATAATTCTTTCTTTTCTTTTTAGGAAAAATTCGTAAAAATATTTAAATCGCTGCAAATTTTTCGAAAGTTAATCGGTAGCACGACATCAATGGTTTGACCTCATGTTCATTTCACCTCTGACAATAAAGACGTTTGATCTTACAATGTATATGTCCTTTGATGTTCAATGTAGATCGTTGATTTACATTATAGTGTCATCGGATGTACCTTTTAGGATCAAATGGACAAGGCTGCAAATATACTGCCCCGAGATGCATTTACGTATCAAAGGGTTGATATAGAATTGAACATGATAATCAATATGTCGTCGGGAATAGAAGATTTTCCGGAGCGCGGTATAATCGGGAAAATCTAGTGGATACTATGGAGAAGTGGGAAGAAATACTTGGAACGTCAAATGGGATAGAAAGGTGGAATGAGGGGCTTTAAATGGTGAGTGTTTTTATATAAATTTTTGTGTTTTTGTAAACAAATTATTATACTTTAAAAACTTCTTCAGTAATTACATTAGTTTTCTCGGACAATACAGCAGTTTTTATTTTTTTTTTAAATAAAGGTACATTTTGTTACGTAAAATTGAACAGGCTTTAAGATTTTTAATTTTATCCATTATTCAATAAACAAAGATATGATATAATTTGCTGATGTAACCGGGTACCACTAGAGCCCTCTATGGGCGGTCACAAAATAAAAATTTTATGTTCATGCTGTTAAAACTTATAAAGATATTGAGAAATTTTAAAATAAAATTTTCACCCTGTATCTTTAAACCAGCCACAGTTTTATAAGGCATGTTAGGCTAAATCTTCGAATTTATAATAATAATAATAATAATAATAATAAAAAAATATGATAACGTCTTTATTTTCAAAACATAAAAATTTTGATTTTGTTCTGGACACAATCAAAAATATTCTTTTTCAAAATTTATGAATAATTTTGATATTTATTAAAATTTCTTATATATTATATTGTTTTAGGAGGAATGAGTGGCTTCAAAGGGTGAGTCTTTTGATATAAATTTAACATTTTCTGTAAACAATTTTTTTTTGAATTATTTTTATTTCTATTGAAATTTCTTTTATTATTTTAATATTAACAATAATTATTAATAAATAATTATTAAATATTTTTATTAAAATAGGAATTCTAATATACAAATATTAATTTATAATTACAATCGGTTATAATATTATAATTTTAGCTATAAGTACATATCTATTAAAATATATTAATTTTTAAGCAATAAAAAATAAGAAAAACTATTAAAATAATTAAAAACTCTTTGTCTATATAATATTTAAATTAAATTAAATCAAATTTTAACAAATATTATAACGAAAATGAAACAATATGAAAAAAGGAAAAAATACTAGTACATCACCGCTTTTGTTAAATCAACAAAATCTTTTTTTTAAATTTATATATATCTACTTATTTGGAAAATGGAAAAATACGAATAGAAGTTCTAATTATATTGAAAAATTGACTTTAATGCAGGTGAGTTTATTATAATATAAAACATTATTTTCAAATATACAAATTATTTCCTTATCAAAATTTTTCTCGGAAACAAATCTTTTTCTGGTTTTAAAAAAATACATTTTTGCTTTACGGTAGATTTTTATTTTTAACAACAAATTTTGTGATACCTTTAAGTTTAATTTAACTACAGGGTTGGATTCCATATTTAGCCGTATACGTTGGATGTATTTTCAACAGGGGGATACATCCCTTTGATCCCCTTTTTATCTACGCCACTGCTAAGATTCTGAATTTTAGTTGGAAAAAACCTTAACATAAAACAAAAATCGACTTACATCAGTTGATGCGTTACATTCATCAAAGGCTTCTGTCGTTTCTCTCGAAGATATACTTAATTGGGATTGTGCTGTATCACCAACATTGCCGGCATGTTCACCTTCTTCTATTTCGCCAACAGTCACGCGATTTTTAGCGAATTCTTGATTTTTACTTAGGATTAAATATACTTCCTCCAAACTCTCGCAATTGTACATGTTCAATAGTTTTTCTGGATTCTCTTCGATTAAAATTTTACCATCTCGCATCAAACCGATCTGAAACATAAGAATGAACTTATTGTTTAAACTTTTCGTACGAATTTAGATGTTTTATTAAATATGCTCGAAGGTGGGTGGCACTGCTATGAGTAGTCGGTGCTGTCACTGTCAGCTGTCAGAACTGTCGGCAGTCAATACTGTCAGTTGTCTGGAGTAGGTACAAAGAGTTATAAGTAAAAAAAAATAGATAAAATTAGGGTTACCATATTCAAAAATACAATTTCCTGATATGTCTAATAAAAATTCCGGACAAAATAATAAAACTCTGGACAAAATAATAAAACTCGGGACAAAATAATATAAATCTAGACAAAATAATAAAATTCCAACTCATAAAATAATTACTAAACGTTTTATTAAAAAGTACCTACTGTCAAAAATTTAAAAAACAAAACAATTTCTCAAATAAAAATTCGTGAAATTAAACATAAAACATTATATAATACAAGAGGTATACAAAAACACAACTTCATAAGACAACAACCGTTCTTTAAATATTTACATAAAAAACTATAAGAAAATAAAAGAAAAGTTAATTTCAACTGCCAAAAGAACTGTTTTTAGGGTATTTTAAGTATAACCTAACAAGTTTGATGATTTTCCTGAAAATTCCGGACAATTTATAATTCCGGACAAAACGATAAAATTCCGGGTATGTCCTGACTTTTCCTGATATCTGGTAACCCTAGATAAAATTGGCGTGGAATATTTTTTTAATATAGAAAACTAGATTAGAAAACATTGTCTTATTTGCTAAGCTCTAAAGAATAATAATCTTACCTGATTGGCTTGTCTGGTCTCCTCTATATAATGCGTTGTTATTATCACAGTCGTTTTATCTTCTTGGCTGATTTTAAGCAAATATTTCCATACCCTAAAGAAAAGTAGTTTTAGTAAAAAATGCGAGTATGTTGGACAAACTGAAAAAAATCTGCCAGATTTAAAGAACACTGACCTATCTCTAAGAATTGGGTCTGTTCCGACAGTTGGTTCGTCGAGAATTAGTAATTCTGGTTTATGGACCAAAGTTACTGCAAACGAAATTCGTCTCTGCGTACCCCCACTGCAATCTTTAATAAATCTGCAAAAATTTACAAAATCCGCATGGCGTTTATTGATATGGGTTTCATCAAGGAAATTGTATGTTAAGGGAAAGAAAAACGTCTTATAATATATATTTACCTGCCATCTTTGGGTAGCTCTAAAAGCTCAACCAATTCTTCGTATCTTTGGTGTATAATTTCATCGTCTACGTTATATATCCTGCCAAAAAAGTAAATGGAATCTTTGACGGTGAAGTCTCGTACAAGTGAAGTTCCCTAAAAGACGTAAATCAAAGAAAAAAAAATTAGAAACAAAAAAGAAAAGAATAATTAAAATACCTGTGGCATGTATCCCACTTTTGAACTGAGCAGTGCTGATGATTTCTTACCAAAGACTTGTATTTCACCTTGATCTATTTTGTTTCTACCAATAATGCAACTCAGTAAAGTGGTTTTACCACAACCGCTGGATCCCAGAAGACCATATCTAGAGATATTATTTTTTATGCTTTTTTACTGGTTTACTTACATATTTGATTAGATAATTCAAGTGACAAATAAGTTGAACGCTCTATTAGGGTTATGTCAATTGAATTATATTTCCTGATTTTACATTTTTTTGAGGAAATTATTTTGATTGTCGTAGGAAAAATATTGTACATCACTCGTGTAAAAGGTATTATTTACACTCGTGAGATTGTCGCTTATGTGAAAAATATCACTTTCCACACTCATAATGTAATATACTATTTCATATATTAATTGCTAACAATATTACTAAAATATTAAAAATTTTCCACTTTTCTTCCAATTTTTTCATTACGGTGTATTTTAGAAGACAAAAATAATAGAAAATGGCGCCACAAACAATTTCTATTCAAAGAATTTTCTTCTCTAATTATAAACTATAAAAAATATATCTTAAGTAGAAAAACACCCCCTTAAAAGTACCCTGCAGATGCTCCGACTATGCCCAAAACCCAATCAGGTCACCGCATGATGTTATAAATCATTCTTTCAAATATGATTATAAAGTAGGAATTGGAAAAATTTGTGCACACTTCTTCTCTTTACGTGTCAGTTTGGTTTGAATTTAGAGCCGTGTGTAGTTATCGCTAACATCAGTCGTATCTCTACCTTTGTCGGTCATAGCCTACTTTAGAAACATTTATAAGATGGACAGACTATCCAGTATTAATTTGTTTACTTACATGCTTCCCTTTTGTACATTTAAACAAATCTTTTTTAATATATGGTTTGATCCATAGGATTTTTGTACATCCTTGACGCGTATTGCCACCTGATCGTTCATCTTCTTTCTAAAAAAAAAATACACAAATAAATACATGGTGAAAATACATATTACTTATTTTCAGCAAGATAATTATACACCAAAATCAGTATCGGGCCAAAAATTGATCCCTGAGGTAATATTTTTGTCACATAGAGAGAATGAAAGAGAAGGCAGATTATTTAATATTTCTATTTTCAGGATCTCTTGTCTAGAACTTTTATGGGAATGAAATTTCAGAAAAATTAAAAAATTACTAAGTAAATTCAGTGTGTTATAACCATAGAAAAAGTATAGTTTTTAATACGCAAAGAATGCCTATTTCTAATACTATTATTTCTCTATCTATTTAAAAAAAAGTGCACAACAAAATACGTACTTTGTATTTATAATAATGTCAATAATTATTATTTACAATACTACTTCTAAAAAAAATTCCGACATAACAAAAATACAACTTATCATCGCATGTTAACCTATACAAAATAAAATGTATTGAGTATCTCGATTAAAGTTGAAAACACGCAATTTATAGGTATAATTGAATATAATTAACTGAGTCAATTCAAATGCAAAAATCGTATGATATAGTGCATTATATCTGTACGTACAGAGTGTATCTAGGTACAAGAACTGTATAAATTCATATTTATATCTATTATGAAAATAAATATGGAGCTATTTTATTTCTGAGCAATTAAGCATTTATAAATTTTTGATATCTATTCAATTTTCGTAAATAGCTTTCAAGAATTTGTGTGATTGTGTGTAGAATTTATGTACCAAGAGCGTATATGTAGATAAATCTATTGGTTTGGAAATAGTGATAAAATAAAGACTCCAATGTCAAATTTAAAACAAGTAAGAATTCAACTTTGTTACTCTCTAACTTCAACACCTGTTAAAATTGGAAAATGTTGTTTGTAAAATTATGTTTCTGCACTTTTTATAAATATTTTCTGAAATTTTGAAGTTTATAAATCTATTAGTTTGGAAATAGTGACGAAATAAAGGCTCCAATGTCAAATTTATAACAAGTAAGAATTCAACTTTGATACTCTCTAACTTCTACACCTCTTAAAATTCGAAAATATTGTTTTCAAAATTATGTTTCCACACTTTCTATAAATATTTTCTGAAATTTTGAAGTTTATAAATCTATTGGTTTGGAAATAGTGACGAAATAAAAGCTCCAATGTCAAATTTATAACAAGTAATAATTCAACTTTGATACTCTCTAACTTCAACAACTGTTAAAATTTAAAAATGTTGTTTACAAAATTATGTTTCTACACTTTTTATAAATATTTTCTGAAATTTTAAAGTTTATAAATCTATTGGTTTGGAAATAGTGACGAAATAAAGGCTCCAATGTCAAATTTATAACAAGTAAGAATTCAACTTTGATACTCTCTAACTTCAACGCCTGTTACAATTGGAAAATTCTGTTTGCAAAATTATGTTTCTACACTATTTATAAATATTATCTGAAATTTTGAAGTTTATAAATCTATTGGTTTGGAAATAGTGACGAAATAAAGGCTCCAATGTCAAATTTATAACAAGTAAGAATTCAACTTTGATACTCTCTAACTTCTACACCTGTTAAAATTCGAAAATATTGTTTTCAAAATTATGTTTCCACACTTTCTATAAATATTTTCTGAAATTTTGAAGTTTATAAATTTATTGGTTTGGAAATAGTGACGAAATAAAGGCTCCAATGTCAAATTTATAACAAGTAAGAATTCAACTTTGAAACTCTCTAACTTCAACAACTGTTAAAATTTAAAAATGTTGTTTACAAAATTATGTTTCTACACTTTTTATAAATATTTTCTGAAATTTTGAAGTTTATAAATCTATTGGTTTGGAAATAGTGACGAAATCAAGGCTCCAATGTCAAATTTATAACAAGTAATAATTCAACTTTGATACTCTCTAACTTCAACAACTGTTAAAATTTAAAAATGTTGTTTACAAAATTATGTTTCTACACTTTTTATAAATATTTTTTGAAATTTTAAAGTTTATAAATCTATTGGTTTGGAAATAGTGACGAAATAAAGGCTCCAATGTCAAATTTATAACAAGTAAGAATTCAACTTTGATACTCTCTAACTTCAACGCCTGTTACAATTGGAAAATTCTGTTTGCAAAATTATGTTTCTACACTTTTTATAAATATTATCTGAAATTTTGAAGTTTATAAATCTATTGGTTTGGAAATAGTGACGAAATAAAGGCTCCAATGTCAAATTTATAACAAGTAAGAATTCAACTTTGATACTCTCTAACTTCTACACCTGTTAAAATTCGAAAATATTGTTTTCAAAATTATGTTTCCACACTTTCTATAAATATTTTCTGAAATTTTGAAGTTTATAAATTTATTGGTTTGGAAATAGTGACGAAATAAAGTCTCCAATGTCAAATTTATAACAAGTAAGAATTCAACTTTGAAACTCTCTAACTTCAACGCCTGTTAAAATTGGAAAATGTTGTTTGCAAAATTGTTTCTACACTTTTTATAAATATTTTCTGAAATTTTAAAGTTTATAAATCTATTGGTTTGGAAATAGTGACGAAATCAAGGCTCCAATGTCAAATTTATAACAAGTAAGAATTCAACTTTGATACTCTCTAACTTCAATGCCTGTTAAAATTGGAAAATGTTGTTTGCAAAATTGTTTCTACACTTTTTATAAATATTTTCTGAAATTTTGAAGTTTATAAATCTATTGGTTTGGAAATAGTGACGAAATCAAGGCTCCAATGTCAAATTTATAACAAGTAAGAATTCAACTTTGATACTCTCTAACTTCAATGCCTGTTAAAATTGGAAAATGTTGTTTGCAAAATTGTTTCTACACTTTTTATAAATATTTTCTGAAATTTTGAAGTTTATAAATCTATTGGTTTGGAAATAGTGACGAAATCAAGGCTCCAATGTCAAATTTATAACAAGTAAGAATTCAACTTTGATACTCTAACTTCTACATCTGTTAAAATTCGAAAATATTGTTTTCAAAATTATGTTTCCACACTTTCTATAAATATTTTCTGAAATTTTGAAGTTTATAAATCTATTGGTTTGGAAATAGTGACGAAATAAAGGCTCCAATGTCAAATTTATAACAAGTAAGAATTCAACTTTGATACTTTCTAACTTCAACGCCTGTTAAAATTGGAAAATGTTGTTTGCAAAATTATGTTTCTACACTTTTTATAAATATTTTTTGAAATTTTAAAGTTTATAAATCTATTGGTTTGGAAATAGTGACGAAATAAAGGCTCCAATGTCAAATTTATAACAAGTAAGAATTCAACTTTGATACTCTCTAACTTCAACACCTGTTACAATTGGAAAATGTTGTTTGCAAAATTATGTTTCTACACTTTTTATAAATATTTTCTGAAATTTTGAAGTTTATAAATCTATTAGTTTGGAAATAGTGACGAAATAAAGGCTCCAATGTCAAATTTATAACAAGTAAGAATTCAACTTTGATACTCTCTAACTTCAACACCTCTTAAAATTCGAAAATATTGTTTTCAAAATTATGTTTCCACACTTTCTATAAATATTTTCTGAAATTTTGAAGTTTATAAATCTATTGGTTTGGAAATAGTGACGAAATAAAGGCTCCAATGTCAAATTTATAACAAGTAAGAATTCAACTTTGATACTCTCTAACTTCAACGCCTGTTAAAATTGAAAAATGTTGTTTACAAAATTATGTTTCTAGACTTTTTATAAATATTTTTTGAAATTTTAAAGTTTATAAATCTATTGGTTTGGAAATAGTGACGAAATAAAGGCTCCAATGTCAATTTTATAACAAGTAAGAATTCAACTTTGATACTCTCTAACTTCAACGCCTGTTACAATTGGAAAATTCTGTTTTCAAAATTATGTTTCTACACTTTTTATAAATATTATCTGAAATTTTGAAGTTTATAAATCTATTGGTTTGGAAATAGTGACGAAATAAAGGCTCCAATGTCAAATTTATAACAAGTAAGAATTCAACTTTGATACTCTCTAACTTCTACACCTCTTAAAATTCGAAAATATTGTTTTCAAAATTATGTTTCCACACTTTCTATAAATATTTTCTGAAATTTTGAAGTTTATAAATCTATTGGTTTGGAAATAGTGACGAAATAAAGGCTCCAATGTCAAATTTATAACAAGTAAGAATTCAACTTTGATACTCTCTAACTTCAACAACTGTTAAAATTTAAAAATGTTGTTTACAAAATTATGTTTCTAGACTTTTTATAAATATTTTTTGAAATTTTAAAGTTTATAAATCTATTGGTTTGGAAATAGTGACGAAATAAAGGCTCCAATGTCAATTTTATAACAAGTAAGAATTCAACTTTGATACTCTCTAACTTCAACGCCTGTTACAATTGGAAAATTCTGTTTTCAAAATTATGTTTCTACACTTTTTATAAATATTATCTGAAATTTTGAAGTTTATAAATCTATTGGTTTGGAAATAGTGACGAAATAAAGGCTCCAATGTCAAATTTATAACAAGTAAGAATTCAACTTTGATACTCTCTAACTTCTACACCTGTTAAAATTCGAAAATATTGTTTTCAAAATTATGTTTCCACACTTTCTATAAATATTTTCTGAAATTTTGAAGTTTATAAATTTATTGGTTTGGAAATAGTGACGAAATAAAGGCTCCAATGTCAAATTTATAACAAGTAAGAATTCAACTTTGAAACTCTCTAACTTCAACGCCTGTTAAAATTGGAAAATGTTGTTTGCAAAATTGTTTCTACACTTTTTATAAATATTTTCTGAAATTTTAAAGTTTATAAATCTATTGGTTTGGAAATAGTGACGAAATCAAGGCTCCAATGTCAAATTTATAACAAGTAAGAATTCAACTTTGATACTCTCTAACTTCAATGCCTGTTAAAATTGGAAAATGTTGTTTGCAAAATTGTTTCTACACTTTTTATAAATATTTTCTGAAATTTTGAAGTTTATAAATCTATTGGTTT